GTCGTTTTTATTATATTAATATCATCTGTCCAGATTGATATCTTTCCTGTGGTGTACGTATAACAATAAGTAAATGCTGGTACAGGAAACGCAGTTTCTAATTTAGAATTAAAATATTTCCATTGTGGTCTGGGTGCGGTATTGTTGCAATTTCGAAATGCAACACCTTCGACATAACGCGTCATGACGGTGACAATGTTGTCCCTAATTTTAAATGAATTGTGTGAGATTACGATACAAAAGTCCGAATATTTGTAATATGATCTGATAGCTATCATGGGTTTTAAATGTAGTAAGTATCAAATGTGGTTGGGGTTTGAGAGGCCAGAAATGTGTTTTAATTTCCCAAAAAGTCCATATTTAAATTTAATTTTTTTAAATAAAATTTCAATTGTAAAAGTAAGCAAAATTATTATTTTTTTAAATTTGACAAATAATTATTTTATTTTTCACTGATTTTTAATATTTTAACAGTTCTGCTAATGTTTTGATAAAGAATTAAAATTTACTAAAAATTATTGCGCCCTATAAGAAAATTAATGCAAATGCCCTATAAAAAAATAAAGTAAACAATTTTACAATTAGTAATTGACCCAACAAATTTCGGGTACATTTTTTTCTTTCTTGCTTTTATCGATGAAGACCTTAAGATCCATTTAAAGTTTTTATACTTAGAATGTCTTCAAAATTTAATATAAGATTTTGTTATATGGTTTTGGGCTTTTAAAGGTTTTTAATTTTCTTTTTAATATTTTGCCAACCACTAGCTTTCTTTTCAAATTTATAAATTTCATGTTAATAGGCTTGTAACTACGCAACTTTTCTCTAATTTAACCGAGCTTGTAGCTCTTCAAATAAAAAAATGGAAGGATACTTGGTGCATCCTGTATGGGTCATTATAATTTTTAGGCCCATCTACCTCTACAAAATAAATATTTCACATTTTATATCCATTGTGACTATTATTTAGGCAAACCAAAGGAAATTCTAATGTTATTCTCAGCAGTAAAGTCTCTCTTAAATAGTCTCTTATTTTTAGCTTTTAAGGTCGTAGCGATAGCAGTGCAGTATGGCAAAAGGGACATGTGAAGAAAGAAAATCTATTTTCCAAGTGACACAATAAATGAACATAAAACATTGCAATAATTAAAAATAAAGGAATTAGTTTACTTTACATGAAAAACAAAATTAAATTCTGCAAATACTTAGCGAGTAAATGCCGTAACGAAAGATAACCTTTAAAAACACACGCTGCTGGTTTGTAATGCGCAAAATAATAATAGAAAAACGCCATCTCGTGCCACAGTTATAAACTACATGGGTTACCAAGTTATATTATATGTTATGCTAAATTCCAGTGTATTTTATAACAAAGCCTTTTTTTATTTAGGCGGTTTGTGACGATGTAGATATTAAATATAAGGACAAGGTTTGATCACGCTAAAAAAATATTCAGACATTTTATCACATTCTTTAATAGTACTAAGGAGCTTCTTCATTTTATTTCTAAAATTCTGTTTTATACAAAACCTATGAAAAATATACGTGTTAAGTTTTTACTATTGCAATGGTGGGGACATGTCCCCATGTCCATGCTAACTTTCAACTTTAAATAAGATATATTTTCTATTATTTTTTTTTATTTATGAATCTAGTTTTGTATTAGCTGTCTCAATTTATTATTTTTTTAATAAGAAATGTTAGGTACCTACAACAAAGTAAAAATGAAAAAGCTTTTTTTTTTTCCTTTTATTTCGAAACATTTTTAATCACAAGGGAATAAAAATTGAAAAAAGCAAAAAGAACGACAACATTAAAATTGTTGCCACTTTTTCAGGGTAATTTGGGTTCGCTGATTCCATCACTTTGCTCAATTAGCTCCTGTTTTTGCGATATTAAAAAAACCCTCCTATATTATTAATCAAACATAATGTGTCCCCTAGAATTATTTATTTGTTAGCGATGTTTTAAGTAATAAAGCTCTAATGCATAAAAGAATGTGTTATTTAGAGTAAAAACATCAATCGAAAAAAAAAGAAAAAAAGATATGGCAGCGGTGGGATTCGAACCCACGCCTCCGAGGAGACTGGTGCCTTAAACCAGCGCCTTAGACCGCTCGGCCACGCTACCTACATTAAATTTAGGCATTACTCACATTTTTGTTAACAACCATTTACACCATGGAAATTATTTTTAGATTTAAATTTGTTTTAAAAATAATCATAAATTGTTTGGTATAGCTATATGAAAGTTAAAAACGTATATAAATTTATATATTATTCAAATAAAATTAAAAAAATGTATCCCGGCGCATTCGCCAAAATTGCAAATATAATAATATATAATATAATAATTATTTAAGGGGGTTCCAACTTAATTGAAATTTTAAGTAGGTAAAGAAACTTTAAGATACAAATTATTTTTTTAATATCTTGTAATTATTCTATATGCCAAAAGTATAAAATATTTCTGGGGAGCAATTGTAACATACTGGTACATATTTTGGAAAATTTTAAAGTAGGTATACTATATACATGGGCGCCGCTAGGGGGGCCAAGAGGGGGCGTTGCCCCCCTGTAAAATTAAAATACTAAACAAAAGCTCATTTAAATATTTAAACATGGATATAAGATGTACCTACCGTGTAAAAAAAATCGTTTTATTTTGTTTATTTCAAATGTTTTTTCACATTTTATGTTTTTTTTATTAATCCAGTCAAGCATAGTTGTAGCATTTTGGCCCCTGTTTGGCAAATTTAATTTGGCACTAAAATATACCTAATTAAAAATAAAAAAACTTGTTAACTGTCGACTTAAGAAAAAAAGTTAAATAAATTTTTTGTAGAAAATTTAATTTTCCTAAAAAGGTCATATAAATCGAATCTCTAAAATTATTATTTTAATTGATCATACAAATTTAAAATTTTGGCAAAATGCCAAGATTTATTAATGGTTTTACAATTAAATATTATTTACATTTATTTTATTTTTTACATATTATAAATAATATGTAAATTTACATTTATTTCTTACCAAAAACAATTAAAATTTGTAAAATATTTAAAGATTAAATCAAAATAATTTTTGTTAAAATTTAATCTTTTGATGACTTTTTAAATATTTATAAATACATTCATAAGTATCTCTTAAAATATTAATTTTAGACTTGGGCAGAAGACCAAATTCCCTACAAAAAATGTATTTACTTTTATCTCCAAAGTCAAGTTAACAGCAATGTGGGGCTGAGGTATTCAATCAAACGAAAAAAGCCTGATTTACCTTCATACAGGGTGCGATAAAAGTTCCCTAAATGTTTTTTAAGAGCGTTAAAAATGTATCAAGAAGTGTTTCGCCGAATCTGTTTCCTCGAGCATATTAATAGAACCTTAAGGTTCTAAAAATTAAAAATTAAAGTTAAAAACAACAGTAGGTAAATGAAATGCATCAGCTGGTCGCTGGTGATCAGTTCTTTTTACGGACGAGAAGATTTTACGCTTGAAAGGTCAGAAAAAAGACGATTGCAACAAAAACTGTCACTCGCAGCCATATTCCAGCTTCTGTGATGGTCAGGGCTGATATCTGTGCAACTGGCAAAACTCCTCTGGTTTTTATCGACCTCAAAGTAAAAATCAATGCCATTAGGTAATTACCTAACGGGTAGTTCTTTGGAATGTTTTGGGACTCCCGCATATTCAGATCAACGCTGAAGGTCTGTGAAAATTGTTTCCTGTGTTAACCTAAAATTTGGACCAAAGATATTTGACCTTAAACCTCGCCTGATTTGAACCCTATGGACTATTCAGTGTGGTCAATCAAGAAGCCGATACAATACCGTGGACATGCGGGTTTGAGTCGCGCATGAGATGAAATTAGGGTATGGCAGTACGCAAAAATAATTGTCAATTTTCAAAAGCGGAGCAAACTTTGAAAATCTGATACAAAAATTTAAATGAATATTTATTTTACTGTTTACACGACAACATACACAGTAAAAAAATATTTGTTAATTTTAACCAAATATTAACCAGATTTTATGTTTAAACATAAATATCCAGGTCCACATAACTTTAAATTTAGGTAAGTTTACAACCAACTCTATACTAATTGAATAAGTAGTTTGTAATTATAACAAACATTTTGTAGATTTAATAACAAAATCCCATAGGTATCAATAATTCAACCATAATTCTTGTAATTTTCAAAAAGGAGGCTATTTTACAAACTTTTTTGTAGACCCAGTGACGAAAGTATTTGTTGGAAATTGAGAACTTAAATGAAAATAATTTTGATAAGAAATGTTGCTTTATTAATCAATTTCCTAAACAAAAAATTAACACATCCCTACATAAAAGAAAACTAAAATAACATAGACACAGTTAAATAACACACCATTTTGAAATCATCAAATTATATAGAAATTTGGTACAATAACAACTACTACAACACTTACTGATGTATTTCGTAACTTTAACCCACTACACTGTATCCCCTAATTTCAGTTTGAAAACCAGTGATGGCATCTTTTTTCGGATACTTCGTACACTCGTTAAATAGGTATAAGGAATCCGAATAACAATAATTACAGATTTCTGGTAATATATTATAAACACTCTGGACAGTTGTTACGAACAGGTTACGAATTACAATAAAGTAAGCAGAAACATAATTTGCAGACGCTGAAGTCAGTTGTTGATCAACAAGTTCAACTGACGCGTCATGACGCACCAATGCATATTATTAGTGGGAAATGTTTTGATTGATTGCCTGAAATTACGTGTACTTTTTCAACGAAATAATTTGTTAAACATTGGTAACCTTTGATTGATGTTTGATTTTTATGACATTGTAAGCTTTTCGTAATATAATTTATTTATATTAATTTATATATGCAAGCAGCTTACGACAAACTGAATGTAGCTATTTGGCAAACGTCACCTTGAGTTAATTTGTGCATTATCAGGTTTATCCAACAATATACTACGGTTCCATCGAAAATTGACCCAGAGCGCCACTATCACGCAATTGACCTTTGATCGTTGATGTCACTAATCTCTCGTATTAGTCTTAACCAAAACACACAACACAGTTCGAATGTGTGGCGTGCGACGTGCGTTGTTATGATGGGCCGGGAACTGTGCATCGTTTCGGTTTCGTATTGGGACAACATTCGCATACACTTTTTGTCGCTTTTCTTCGGAGGATGGGTGTTCTTCAAGAGGTTCGTCAAGTGGATATGGGATCCCAATGGGTTTTTCAAGCTGCAATTACGTGATAAACCGCCCGATTGTTTGGTCGACTCGACTTTAGGTCAACACAAATACGTCAAATTAAAGGTTAGAGTTGGATGAAGTAAATGTATACATTTTAAAGATCGTAGTAACTACTTCTATGGAAACAAAATCATCGATTATTTGGGTTTTTACTTCTGAAGTAGCTACTTCAGAATTTAAAATCTAGGTAATAATAATATTAAGTATTAAATTGTAAAGTATTAAGATAAATTAATTCATTATCATATTAAAAATAACATATCTTAATTAAATATCATAATTAAATTTTGTTTATAAAATTGACATCTATATTTGTCACTTTTAAAAATAATTATATTTCATAAAATTTTAACCATGACCAGGGTTAAAGTAAATCTTCTTGTGGAAAAATACATTTAAATATTTTATAAGGGAAATTTAGATATCATGCAAGGTATTCTAAAAAAATTAAAAAAAAAATGGTTACCAGTGTTTCTTGAGTTATTAGCAGTTTAGTTTAAAAAACTTGACCTAGACTGTAGGCATGTTTTATAGGCTGTGGACAAAAATTTTAAAAGGCGGCTGGGGTTACCACGGTTGTAACATGTTTTTTCGACAGTCCGTGACAAAAAATCAAAATTTTAAATCATCACGACTTTCTTATTGGTATAAATTTTAGCATTCTAATTTTATATACCCCAAGTTACCTTCCTTATGCCCATTTTTATCCTTATTTTTAAGCTTATAACTTTTTTAATTTTCAACTATTTAGTCTTCATATGATATAAAATGTTAGGTCTGCAAGTGAGGCATTTGTTCCTACCGAAAATTTGGATTGTCAAATGGGTGTTAGGGACATATTGACTTCCATATGGACGGTAGGAACAAACCTCTTGGTGGCTATCCATAAAGTTCATAACACCTTTTTAAGGGATTTCAGACACCCCTCCATCTATGTCACGCGTAACAAAATTATTATAGTACGCGATGTCACTAAGTCTTGACCCCTTCCCTCACTAAACTTGGGACGTTCTTTATGGACGACCCCTTGTATATTGTATATTATTTATGAACATGTCAGACGAATGATCAAAGTATATCTTATATTTTATAACTCCAAATTTTAAATGTTTTGCAGATAAGTCTTATAAAATTTCACCACTTAACGCATTATCATAAATACTTGTACGCCTTAAGTGAAGAACAACATATCTGAATCTAGTTATAACTGGTATGAATATATTATTATTATTATCTACAATTGATCTGTGAAACTCAAAACATTACAGGTATCTACCCAGCAAACACAACATCATTCCACGATAACTTGTGGTTTTTACTCACAATTTTTAATTGTTACGGGCGGGCAAAAATTACCGAGTAACGTGGAATGCCCCAACAGTAAAGGTTCTATAATGGCCCTTTATATACGTGCCTTTAATGAACTAACTCCAACTGAACTGTACATATTATGTCGCGTTCACCTTTAAGGGGTAACGGCAGTCAATAAAGGCACTTACAATTTTAAGAACCATTCTATTTTTTGATAAAGGTTCTTATATGGCAAAATAAAGGTACAAATGTGGCAAGCTAAAGTTTCTGATATGGGGTGTTAAAAATTCTATAGTGGTTATTTAAATATTTTTAATGCATAAGTGATGTATCTATTATGGTGGATTAAATGTGTTAGGTATATATTTTTTAGATAGGGATATTACACGATAATCAGAAATTGTTATTCCTACCGTCACAATACAATTTCTGACGATCGGGATAAAAATTTCCAATTAAAACACATTTAATCCACTATAATAAATACTTTACTTATCCATTAAATTTATGAATATATTATCGTGAAATGTAATACTAAAACCTTCATAAATTTACAAGAAAAAATACAAAGCAATGTGTTTTAATAAAGACCTGTATAAGTAAACCATAACAATTTTATTGTAATTTTTACTGTTTATTAGGTAATAAATAAAATTTATAATATTAAAATAAATAAAAAAATTCTTAAACTAAATTGAAAATATTTACAATTAAAATATATACCTATATATTCAAATAAGTTAACTTGATTTGTTTGGTAGATTGTCTTCTATAACAAAGAAAAACAGGTTTTCTTTGCCATTTTTTTTATTCGCAATTGTCCCAAATTTAACCTTTCTACTAAATTCTTTGGCGGTATTTTGTCTGTAATAAGAGTTCTAAAATGTGTAAAATTAAAAATGCACCTACGTACTCATTTAAATTTAACAACCATTAGGTATTATTTTTTTTATGTGCTAGGTATAACACACTATTAAAACTATAGGAATTACACTGGGCGTCATTTTTAAAATATGGCTTTAACTAAAGGATAATTAAAGGTTCATGTAAGTTTTATATGCAGAAAACATTTAGTACTTCAATGGTTTTTTTAAGTACCATTAAAATGAAACTGAAAATTGCCATATATGGTAGGGTAAAATAAACAAATAGCCTAAGAAGAGCCATTGCAAGACCTTATTACAACAGCCTTAATATTTTTATTAATAATAATAATCAGGCTTATGTGTTTGCTGGGTAGGTGCAAAAACATAAAAAAGAAACGTCACAGGTTTAGCGGGTGGAGGGGGTTTGCCTTTTTTGAGGAGGGGGTCTGAATCGTGCGTTACGTCACACCAAATAAAAAAGTCGCTTAGTTTTTTAAACTAAAAAGCTTAATAAATTAAAAACTTGTCGAAAAACACCCATATGTAGATACTTTAAATAACCTTCCCCTACAGCGCATAAAGTTAATTGTTTTTATTATTTCTTTATTTCAATTTTCTGCATAAGTTTATTTTTAATAAATTAGTTTACCATAGGCACCAACTATATCAACTTATAACCCAAATACTACCTTGCGTTCAAAGCGTTAGGTACTTGCGAAGATTCTATACATAACATGTGCGTTAGGTAGGTACAGTACCGATTGTTTAATAAAATTAATAGGATTTATAAATACAAAAAACAGAAAATTAAAAAATAATCTGAGTCTGACGTGTCAGCTTGGGGAGGAAGGTAGAGACATAGTACCATTGTCATTAACAAAAAGCGCTCAAAGGACTTTTTGTAGCAATGGAGCACTGGAGAGCAACGCGCTTTTTGCCTAAATGCTTTTTAACAGAAAAATACCGTGACGGCATCACTTGATCCTGAAAATGGATCAGAATGTTTGACCACACTGTATTGTGTATTTTCACTGTAGATCCAGTAGCGCGCTACCGGATCTACAGTGAAAATACACAATACAGTACGCGTACGCAAAAAACCCGTTGCTTTCTGATAAACAATCTATTTTAACAATAATTCCTTGAAACGCTTTATAATTTAATACCAAAACCGCCGGCGTTACTGTATTTTACAGTTATTTTTGGACACCTTGTGTAAAAATATTTTTTTTTGTTGAATAATTAAATACGTACTTTTTACTTTTAGGGTGTAAAATTTCATTACGTCGAATCTGGGTCGAAAGAAAACCCACTAATAATTCTACTCCATGGTTTTCCTGATTGCTGGCTGAGTTGGCGATATCAGATCCCTGCATTATCCGAAAACTTCCACTTGATTGCGTTGGACCTTAAAGGATTTGGCGACTCCGATAAACCACTTTCTAAAAGAAGCTATCGAATCGAAGTAATTTTAGAGGAATTAAAGCAGTTGATAGCTTCTCTTGGAGTATCGAGCACGACGATCATCGGTCATGATTTGGGCGCCCTTTTGGGTTGGTACTTCGTGCACCAGTACCCGGAAATGGTCGACAAGTTCTTCGCGGTATCCTGTCCCCATCCCAACATATACTGGAAGAGTCTTTCCACCACTTTGAACTACCAGTGGGTCAATTTCGCGCAGCTGCCCTATCTTCCCGAAATAGACGCACTTAAAGAAGATGTCAGGATTATTACGGACTATCACAACTACTTACCCGCCAAAGATGTATACTTAGAAGCCTATAAGTACTCATTTTCGAGAAAAGAAGACTGGACTGGCCCTATTAATTACTATAGGAACCTGCCGTTTACAAAAATTAGTGATAATTGCGAGCAAATCAATGTAACTACCGTTCTTGTAACTGGTAACAAAGACAATTTCCTAAAGTTAGAGGATATCGTCAAGTCAACGGAGTTTTGCGAGAAATTCTACATGAAAATCATCGATGGCGCAGGGCACTTTCCTCACCAAGAAAGCCCGGAAATGTTTAATAAGATCCTATTGAAATATTTACGAAAACACAGCATCACCAAAAATGTAGATAGATCGCCTTCGAAATATTTAATGGACAGAATGTTCGGTGCGGTCAGTAATATATCAACATATGGCAACTCCGTTTTGGACAGTGTTCAAAAAAGGACGAACGGTGTGGTTAACAACTTGCATAACTTTAATTTGGGCTCAAGCTCAAACTCTAATAATGAAGATGTGACTGATAGTTTTAAGTTTTCTTAATAATTTTCATTATTATTATAAAAACGGGTCGAATATATGTCATTTTAAAATGTGAGTCTCGAGTTGTTATATTTTATTTTTAATCATTATAGTTTTACATTATCAAATGTTTTTTCTTTTAAACATAATTTGTAAGTTGATCATGCCCCATATAGGCTTTTAATATGCACTGATTTAGTAGTGATTTCACTGCTTCTGGCCTGCTGCATTGATTTACAGATTTTTGGGAAATGCACTGATTTTTGTGAAATAAATACTGATGCAATGAATACACTGGTTTACAGCAAAAATGTACATTCGATGCCACTATTATTTTCTAATGGATTTTTGCCTGCTAAATTTAAAAATCACATTAAAAATGTTTTGTATGTAATGTTTTTTATGATTTGATTTTTTTTATTTGTTTTTCGAATGTAGCTTTAAAATTTGTGACATATTTCGAGTGAGAAACGGCCAACCTAGTTGCAAAAGGTGTCAAACTAAACATAACCGAATTGCCGACCGATCACTTGCTTGATGCCCAACCAGTTGATTAGTTTAAGTGCAATGGACAAAAATAAAAATGCAACATTTACGTTTTCGCTAAGAACGAATAAAAATCATCTACATATTGATATGAATTATCTTATACCTACTTTATAGGGTATACTGTAGTTTAATACAATACGTTTACAATCTAATTCGAGAACAAGTTTTTGTCGCTGATATATGAATTACTGAGATTTTTTTGGTTAAATTTTAGGTTAATAAAACTGTGTTTATTTATTGTATTGGGTCCGATACTTCGACATCTTTAGATGACTAGTGTCAGATAACAAGTGGGTAAAAAAAATAAGATGTTCCCGTCTTCTTTTCAAGTTATTAACATTTTCCCTTCAACTTTGGTTTAATTGGCGTAATATATCCCTGATAATCCATTCATTGCATTGCAACTTTTTTTTTTCGAAAAATCTCAGTAACCAGAGTGACGACGTATTGGATGATTTTACCAAGAAATGAAGTCCATGGAATTTTTAGATGAACGAATGTTGGAAAATTATATTTGGTTCCTCATAAAAAAATCAGATACTTACCTACCAAAACAAACAGAAGATCAAAAAGCTAAAACTGTTTCTAATAACCTGCTACCCTAAAAATACTACAATAAAAATAAACGAAATATTTTTTATAAGTTATGAATAAGGTATAAGTCAAAAACTGGTATGAAAGTGTTTAATGGGTGGAATCATTTTAATTTTTAACCTACTACATTTCGTCAACCTAAGAAAATATTGGTGAAAGCGTTGGGAAATTTAAATTTTAAACAAAATAAGTTATTTGATAAATTTAAATGAAGTTAAAATGCATTATAAATTAATTTTTTCTACTTCTATTACGGAATATGACCGTTCTAATATCACTTTTTAATGTGGAATGACATATATTCCTGAAAGTATTACATAATGAATTATTCTATCATCTGATGACGGAATAAACACTAGTGGCGACATCTCTGTGTTTAATATCTAACAAATTTAGACCGATCCAACCTCACTTTCTCCAAATTAAATTATTTTTTATGGTAACTAGGCTATTGTTACGTTGTTTTATAACAGGTACCTGAGTTAAGTTGAATTTACCTTAAAAGTTTAGTTGCTATTGACGACGGGAGGTAAGTGAGCTCCCATGGGTAAACAACGTCTTAATAACGAAAAAAGCATAGCAGACTACGTGGCATCCTTTAATGTCAAAAAATTACTTAGTGTTAGTGTCAAAATAAATTGATCAAAAAGAGTATTTTTATAACATGAAACCTAGCTGTGGGAGCAGATAAAACGTTATACACCATGCTCGGGCGCAAACTCGTCCTCGATTGGTAAAATCTACTTACCTCCTTTGTAGTGTAATACATATACTGTTAGGATACTACAACATACGCTACTAATAAGGTAAAAGTCAAATAAACAAAAAGCTGAATTTTGCTACTTGTAATTGTTATTTATCCATAGATTTTTTTCGTAAATACCTTATTTTCTTCGTAAAAGTACAAACCCTATGCAGAATATGGTCAAATTTCAATGATTTTTATTCATTCTTGGACAAAAGGTTAATGTTGCATTCTTATTTTTGTCCAATTTTTGTTTCAATATTCGAACCCATTGCATTTAAACTAGTTAACTAATTGGGCATTACCTTGCCATAAAAAAATACTGTGATTTTCCAGTTTAGTAGGCCAAAATTCACTAGAAAAAAATAGTGTAAATTTGTAAACCAATGTTATTTTCAAAAATGACAATTTTTTCCATTTTAGAGCGAGTTAGTCTAAATAATGGAGTGAGCATTTTGCGTACTTGTCAGTGACAAGTTGTCACTCATCTTATTTCTACCCTTAAGTTAACCAGTACAATAATTTTAATTTAAAAAAAAATTGTATATCGCGATAAATTTGGCTGATGTTCGGTTACATAATTCTGTAATATTAGTGCACACGCACTGATTTCGTATGAGACCAATATGACAACCCTACCTATAATCGTATTAACATATTTATTAAACAGCATCAATGATTTTGTAGAAAAATCGGGTTTTTCTCCAAACATTTTTAATTAAAGATTTACTAAATTATTTACATAATATTTTGACTGCTTGCCAGTGTAATCAATTTTGATGGAACTGCGGTTGTGAAATAAATTTAAAATAATAAATTTTAACAGTTAAATATTTATTTTAAATAATTATTGTTCACACATGAATTCGGTATATATGTACATATTTTACATTTATTTTAATGTTTATAAAATGTATTGCTATGCGGTAATTTTATTAAAATATTATTCAAATTAATTAATTCCCCTAATTTATTTATACTGAAGTATGTTTTATTTTTTTAATTAGTAATAGTAATTAGTAATAGTTAATATTACAGTGATTAAAAAAATCTACTATTTCTTTTTTTTACTACTATTAAGAGTAAGATCCTCCTCATTGCAATTTTCCATTTTCATATTAGTCATATGAAAAACATTTTGTATCTCACTACCAAATGTATAAATCTAATCTTTGAAAGGGAATGCTCTACAAAAAAGGTATCTCATGTTTTTTTTGTAAGATATCATAGGTCAATTTTATAACTTTTAGAATGGTTAATATTTTGAAATTAGTAGTACATATTTTTGTTGGAAATTAACTGATCTACAAAAAAGGTTTCCTTAGTTTTTTTGATAAATGTAACCGTTTCGAATATAATCGCAATTAAAGTTCCATATTTACTTTCACCTTTTAATGAGTACCGAACTATTTCACATAAAAAGGTATTCCGGTATTTGAGCTTCTAAGATGTCTCTCATCCATTTAAAACATTTATTTGTTATAAAAATAATTAAATTACAACATTTATACGAAAAAAATATTTAGATATTTAAAAAAGTTCAAAAAAACCCTTGTCATATGACTAGACCATACTTGCTGACATTTATCGCAAAAAGAAAAGAAATTTTTTTTGTGAATCGGTTAATTTCCACCAAAAATATGTGCTACTTATTTCAAAATACCAACTATTCTGCAAGTTACAAAATTAAAAAAAAAAAATTCAAAAGTTTAAAAACTGGAACCTAAGATATATTTTGAATGGGTAGGATTACGAAAAATCCAAAGGATACCTTTTTTAAAAGTATTCCGGTATTCGAGCCTCTTGGATGAGGGACATTTAAAACATTTATTTATCATATAAATAATTACAATACAACATTTACACCAATGAATTAATTAGATAAAAAAAGTTAAAATATCCTTGTCATATTAAGAGCTATATATCTTAACCACTAGACCATACGGGATATACTTTGAAACGTTTACATTTATCGTAAAAAAAAACAAAAGAAAACTTTTTGTAGATCGGTTAATTTCCAACAAAATCATTTCAACTTTTCTGCAAGTTATAAAATTTTAAAACTTTTACGTAAGATATCTTTTGAATTGATCGGTTTACAAACAAATCAAGGTATCCTTTTTTTGTAGAGCATTTGATTTCCTATCAAAATATGTATTGGGGCTTGGATTTATATTCATTTATTAGTGGGATACAAAATGTTTTTCATCGGACTAATTTGAGAGTGGAAAACTGTAATAAGGAGGATCTTCTCTTAATAGTATGAGCTTTTGAGATACACATCAACCAATCTTGCTATATCATAAGTCAAATCCCCCTATTAAACATACCTTAAAGTGGGTGGAAATATTTAAAAAACCAGAAGTATGCTTGAGTAATATATAAAAAAAAAAAATGGTGGGACACCCTATGCGATAAAATTTCCAAATGGAAATATTCAAAACAGATAATTGTAGTTTATTGATAATTATTATAAGTAGGTCTATAAAAACGATGTTTATAAAAATATTGCATATCTTAATTAAGTTTATCACATGTTGGAATATTAAGACATTAATTTATTTTCCATAAATTAAAAAAAAATTAAAAATTGTTTAACAGTAAAAATCATCCTTGTTATGTGTTAATTAATTATTGCTAAATAAACAACAAAAGTTTATAATTTAGAATGGTAAATTAATAAGTAATGTAATATTAATATACTTTAAGTGATAACTCCTATATTCATTTTAAAAGCTAATTCAACCAAATTTTGCGGTACACTTTCATTGTAACAAACATACACTTCCTTTGGATGAGGCATGTAAATCAGTCTTCTAAAATCAGAAGATACTATTAACCATTGTTTTTTATTTTATTGAACATATTTTGTACTTACCCTATAACCCAGTACACAATTTTATTTTTCTTATTTTCTTTTTCCTCCAAGTAAGGGCATTCAAACAAAATACCATGTTCCTTTATAGCAATCAGACTTTTGTTCATTAATGATTTGGACATTTCCGGAACTGGCATATTCTGCAAAATAATTACTAAAACCGTGTTTATAATTTTTATATATTTTTTAGATACCTTAAATCTCAAAGTATTTTGTAGAAGAGAGTGAATTTTTTGGCAGCACCTTCTAAAGTTACTCAAAACTAGTTGAAGCGTTTGCGATTGCACTCTGCTTTCAGGGGGGCAAATTAAAATGCCTTCCGCCGTATCGAGCTGCAGAAAATGATACAGAACGTTTTCCTGTCCAGCGGTTATTTGTATCGGTCTATAATCCTCGGTTTCGTTCAAAAGGGACTGTCTAATTTCCGATACGTCGAAACTGCTATTGCTCATCTGGCTGCCATCCTATAAAGGTAAATTAAAGAACAAATGTCACTATAAAGGGTGTCCCGAAAACACCATACGTGGTAGACAGGGTCGCAGGATTTGTTCATGTAGGGGGGGGGTAATCCTCACTTTTTTAAGCCTTTTAACCGGCCTTTTAACATGATGATAAAACGAAAAAGTGGAAATAAAGTTACAAAAGTTTGTTACATCACGAAATAATTTGTTTCCACAAAATTCCTTATGTTATCTAAAAGTTCTTCTTCTTTAATATTAATTTTAAATTATTATTATCTTTTCTCCTTTTCCAGAAATCTTTAGTTGAACTGAAATTAAACGATTAATCAAATTTTTAATCAAACCAAACCAAATTTTTACTAATGCTCTCTTCAAGAGAATAAAATATATTAAAAAATTTAAAAAGATTTTGAAGTGAAGAATAAAATTCTTTGTGATGTAAATATAATCTTAAATATTGACAAAAAAACTTCACCACATCTAAAACCTTTGGAAGAATATAGGTTTCTATTATATGGTCTGGTTTCCATTATAATTATACAGGGTGTTTCTTTTAACTTGAGACAGCTCAATATCTCGAGAAATACGCCTTTCACGGAAAAATGTCTTAAATAAAAGGTTAATGTGACCAAAGGGGACATTATTTGGTGCTACCGCTAGCCACCCCCTACCCCTCCTTAAGGGTGAAACGGGGGGTAACTTTGGAAAGTCAAATGGAATGACCCGATTTTTTTCACAGAGTTTGGTAGTACATAAAAAAATGAATAACTTTTATTTTAAAGTTTTTTTCAATTTATCAACAGATGGCGCTGTAATTCAAAATTTAGGAAAAAGGGGTTTCCTTGTAAAATGTATTACCTATTTGAAACGTTTGAAAAACAAAAATTAACATTAAATAAACAATAGTCGGCTCTGAAAACAATTTATAAGAAAAGTTCGAAATGTCGTCCTTCCATTTCGACACCAAGTGGAGCACCAGCGTCCCTGGTCGGTAAACGTTTGGTGCGGTACCTTAAGCGAACGATTAATCGGACCCTTCTTTATTGACGGTGCATTAAATGGCGAAAAGTGCCGGAATTTTCTAGAAAACGATCTGACGGACCTTTTGGAGGATGTACCACTAGCACGGCTCCAAAACATGTGGTACCAGCAAGATGGTTGTCCTGCACATTATTCGACAATTGCTCGAGAGGTGTTGGATCGGGAGTTCAATGGCCGGTGCACCGCGGTGGATCGGTAGACGTGGTCCAGTAATTTGGCCTGCTCGATCTCCTGATCTTACGCCACCAGACTTCTTCCAGTGGGGTTACTTGAAAGAAAAAGTTTACGCTGCAATTCCTACAACTTGGGAGGACATGGTGGAGCGGATCAGGAACGCCTGTGCGGCGATACCGCCCGACATGTTGGCGCGTTGTGTGCCAGAATTCATTACCCGCATTCAAAAATGTGTTGAAATGGAATGACGACATTTCCAACATTTGTTATAAATTGTTTTCATAGCCGACTATTGTTGTTAATGTTAATTTTTGTTTTTCAAACGTTTCAAATAATACATTTTACAAGGAAACTCATTTTTCTTAAATTTTGAATTACAGCGCCATCTGTTGATAAATTGAAAAAAGTTTTAAATAAAAGTTATTTTTTTTTATGTACTACCAAACTCTGTGAAAAAAATCGGGTCATTCCATTTGACTTTCCAAAGTTACCCCCCGTTTCACCCTTAAGGAGGGGTAGGGGGTGGCTAGTGGTAGCACCAAATAATGTCCCCTTTAGTCACATTAACCTTTTATTTAAGACATTTTTCCGTGAAATGCGTATTTCTCGAGATATTGAGCTGTCTCAAGTTAAAAGAAACACCCTGTATACATACAATTTTTTTAACAAGTAACAAAACTAAAAATTTTTAGGATTTTAAGATTTAAGATTTTAAAATTAAATTATAATTTTAAAATAAAAAGTTAAAATATGTTAATAATAACAAGTCTTGATTATAATGTTAAATATTTACCTTATGACTAGAGATGGGATTTTAGTGATTAATTTTTATGAGAAATAGACCTAATTTTTAAATTTTACTACCTATCACACGTAAATTCCTATTTTTAACTAAAATTAACCAAATTTTTAAAAACATTACTATAAAAAACATGCTTTTTTGTAATATTGCGGTTGTCGTATTTGGATGACAAAATATGTAATCATTTTTGTTGTACAGGATTGGTAATGTGGGTTGGTTGGAAGTAGTTGGTACTGGGTTGGGTTGGGGCTTTTGCAAAAATCATAAATAAAATTATAATATTGCCAAAAAACTCCATGGTGAGGAACCCCGTTTTTAAAGTAAAGAAAATTTGGTCAACAATTTAAAATTTAGGAATACAGTTCAAATATTTAATGAAATGTTGTTCACTTAACAAAAATATATTGAAAATGTCTTTAAACATTCTTAATTTAAACTTTCTTCTTACTTTTTTCCGTTATTACATTTTTAACCAAAACTGTATTTCAGGGTTCGCAGCGAATGAAGCAAAAAATTTAGGGCACTTTAGGGCACTTTTATTTTTAACATAGGGCACTAAATTAGTGCCGATTTAAGGAAATTGTTGGAATAATTTACCTTATACATGAACAAATTATACCGTTGTTTTGTACATACCTAATTACTAGGGCATACAATCCCGGACAAAATTAGGATTTCTCAAATCCCGGGATTTTTTTTAAATTACAAAAAACATTTTTTTTAATAATTTATTATTACTAAATAAGTACTTGAAACCCTTTTTTATATAAACAATTTGGAAAATAAAGGAAAAATATAAACAACAACAGTTAAGTAATATTAATCACTTATTTAATTACATACAACTTACAGTACTGTAAGATGTATGTAATTAAATAAGTGATAAATTTTACTTTCCGATTTTTTTTTAATTTCCCACTGTAGGATGTAGATATGTAATTAATTAAGTGATTATTTTTGCTTTCCTATTTTTTTGAAATATCACACCTTTTGTCCGAAAGTCCCGGGATTTCATCCAAAAAATCCCGTGGATTGTATGCCCTATTAATTACATTTTCGCACTTAATTAACATTTGGTGTAAATTTTATTTACAAGCATTTAAATTTTTATATATCACAATTTAAAAAATAAACGAAAAATTGATAAAAAAATAGGGCACTTTATTTAAAAATAGGGCACTTTTTGGGCACCCTGAAAAAAATAGGACACATTAGGGCACTTTAGGACACTCGCTGTGAACCCTGGTATTTTTACATTGACCCACTTTTCTACTTTTTTGCCTTATCAATTTTGCCCAAACAAAATTGCTTTATCAAAAATCTATTCTACTATTTTAATGCACGTTATAAGCGACACTATTTTAATACACATTATCACATTTTGCCCAAACAAAATTGCTTTATCAAAAATCTATTCTACTATTTTAATGCACGTTATAAGCGACACTATTTAAATACACATTATAAGCGACACTATTACCTATAAGACATTTTTAATACCTATTACACTGATTTTTTATCATCTACATATATATATATATATAGGTTTGTAGAAATATAAGGTATTTTTTATTATTATTAAAACGTGCCCCAACGATCTATCATCGAATTTTATGTTTTTGCATAAATTATTGATAAAAAACTTTAAGGTTTAAAAAAATAATAATATATACCCTTTTTCTTTCATAAAAAATTGACATAATTTGTAATTTCAGCTTTAAATAAAATAATTGCATTTTATTTTAGGAATTATTTCACTAGCTTAAATTTTTACTACCAGAAATATATGTAACTTAAGCATTTGGTGAAAAATACTATGGTCGCTCTGAATTTGTCCAATACTGTATAGTCCCACAAACAAATGACTCACGACGCGGGCTCGGTTCATTTATTTACTTCCAGAGTAATTAAAAAAATGGGGTTAAATATATATAAAAAATTATATGGGGCTGCATGGCAGTATAAAAATAAAATTAATTTTACAAATATTTTAAAACAGATTTTGGGATTACTGCTCAGTGGAATTTTTTTGCGACATTTTACAAAAAAGTGGCGGTATCGGAGGGGCTGTAAAAAAGCGATAACAATATAAAAAATTATCATACAATTAGAGATGTAAAAAAACGGTTTTTTTTCAGATGTGAAAAAAAAACATGAAAAAAAACCTGAAAAAAAAACGGTTTTTTTTTGTTTTTTTTCAAAATGAAATTTTGAGTAAAATGTATATTAATAATAAAGTGAAATGTAGAATACCTATACTACAATTTTCATTATTGAAAATTTTGACCAAGACTAAAAATCTGATTTCTTATTATTTGGTAGTTTCCACATTAGAAACCAATAGCAATGTAAAACTTCTACACTAATACAAAAAATTAAAGGATAAAAAAATTTGTTTGCGATTTTTCGGATAGCTGTATCTTTGTTAAAAATGGTCGTATTGGAGCCGTAAAAAAAGCAATTTGAAGCTTGAAGTTTATAGTTTTGAAATTTTTATATGAAAAACGTGCAACGCTCAATCCTAACAAATACCGTAATAAAAAAAATCGATTTTTTTTTTGCTTTCTTTTTTGGTCCACGGAATGTTGTGACTGAATAAATGTTCTCCAAAAATTTGCTATTGTTTTTTTGAAAAAAAAATTCCATACTCTAGATGAAAAATCATGAAAAAAGTACTTTTGGTAGATTTTTGAAAAATCACGCGCTGAATCAAAAATATTATCTGTAGTTACTTTTTTTAGGACCAAATCAAAACAAGCGCGGCCCTTATTGGTCAAATCGGTGGTTGTGGCGCGTACATAGCGCGAGACTGTATTTATATTTACTAATTGTCATTTAGTGGCTAATTTTAGTTCATGGAAACATAAAAAATTAGGCAAATGAGACTAATCTTGAAAAAAAACCATTTGAAAAAAAACAAAAAAAATTGACCGTTTTTTTTCAAGTCGCATCTCAACATACAATACCATTGCTATGAACCTATAGATGATATTTGTGTAGACTTTCCTGGAATGACACAGTTTTTGTTAAAAATGTTATTACAGGAAAAAATAAGAACTAAGTTAAGTTAGATAAGTTTAAAAGATGGGTTTATCTTTATTCTAACGTGTTTAACATTTTTAATTTTGCAGTTTTTTAAGTAAAAAATCTACTTTCCTGCGTCCTGTAAAAATAAAATATTGGCAATTGTTAGTTTAAACTTTCATGTTAATTATAAACGATTGTAATTACAATTGGAGTTGGACCTTGATAAAACGCACAGATGCGTCTTCTAACTTGCCGCTCAAATATAATCTTTGACCCAAGGAGCGATCAGAAAATTTAATTTTCTTAGGGAGAACAGGGCCAAATTGACATTTTTTAATAAAAAAAATGTGGCCAAACAAATAATAGCAGGTTTTTGAAAATTTTATTATTAATTGCATTTTTTATCATTCTCACAAATTTTCATTATTTTTTTTATTAATAGTTTAGAAGAAAATAATTTTTAAATCAAATGCTAAATTTTTTAAATCAAACATTATAAATAAAGGAATGAAGTTTTTTTTTTAATTTTATGTGATAACTTAGTAGATTTTGATTTAATATTTATTTTTAATTTTCATTTCAACGTCGAAAATCATGGGCTTACTTGGCAAATTTCTAGTCTATAAATAAAGTGTTTAAACTTACATTAAAATCGTCATTGTCCGATAAATCTTCGTCGTATTCGCATTTGGACCTTCTGGATCGGGCACCGCTTTCGTCGCTAATTTCACTGCAACATTCCTGACTTCCCGAATCCTCCGAATAACAATCATCATGTAAGGATGTGGATGAGTTGTAGGGCAAAACGAAGTTTTGATCCGAACTTCTGCGTTTCAAAATCGAAGTCACCTTGAAAGACAACACGTTGGGTTACACCCTTAGACCGCAAAAGTTACAACATTTAATATTTGTTTTGTATTTGTATTTAAAACGACTATTTTTTGTTTTTTACCGAAACTCCAAAATATTGTTCAAAACATCGAAAAAAAATTCCCTCACAGTTTAAGCTCTTAAGTTTGATTCTAAGTACAGTTACGGAAAATAGTAACGTCCATTTGAATGCTCCATTGTAATTGTTCGGAGACATTCCGGTTTTGGTAATAAAATTAACATATTTTTTTTTAAATTGAATAATTCTACCTACCTGCTATTTATCATTCTTTCTATGCACATTTAATTTGACTTTTAAGCTTTTATGCTATTATCTAAACAATTTAAATGTTTAAGGAATAAAATTGATTTTGAAAAAATTTAAATATTTAAATGAAATATATAGAGATTCAATACTAAAATAATTATAAACTTATGCATAATTTTTCAAATAAAACTGTTAATAACCCTCTTTATTTACCTTTTTATGTGATTTTTTGTTACCTGGGCAATTTGAATTAAAATATTTATTCTTAATGTAAATTAAAGCCATTAAAATTTTAAACTAAAATGAATTTTGTGCTTATAAAAGAAATTCACTTTTAATTCGTATATCAACATTTTAGTTTTCATTATTTGTAGAGCAAACATGCAAAAACCGATAAATCTATTAGGAACCGATTCTTACTAATTTAAACTTTTTAACTTAACATAACAAACCGAAACAGAAACAACCGAACAAAAGCAACATTCCATTTTAATAGTTTTTAAACATTTGGGGCAATCTGCTGTACACATTTTTGGCCAATATTTCATAATAAGTTAAAATGGATTTATCTGATTTTGCATATTTGTTTTATGAAATAACTGCCCAATATCAACTTATTTCAATGTATAAAAATCCACTAAAATATGAAAACTTCATAAACTTATCATAAATGAAGATTGGTCTTCCCAAAGGGGTCTAAGCGCCAAAAATAAAATTGTGAGTAATCAATGAAAATAGTAGATACAATACTTACAAAATTAATATTAAATCGTTGTGCATGGCATAGAAACTATTTTTAAATAATTTAATATTTGACAAAATTGGGTCCAAACCCTTTGGTAATACCATGCTTTAATTATAATTGTTTCCTACTTTTTCAGCAAAACTAAATATATGGTAAAATTTAGTAGGAAAATATTCTGTTAAAACAATGCGCAAAAAAGCGGCATTTTTATTTAAAAAGAAATGTTAAATAATTATTAATGTTATTCTTTACCATTTTTTAAAAATAAAAATGCTGCTTTCTTTGCGCATTGTTTTAGCAGAATATTTTCTTAAATAAGGGGACGTACTAAATTTTACCATAAAAAGTAGGAAAATCTGGAAAATTTCTTTTACCTTGAATACCTTTATAGTTTTATATGTATTATAGATTTATAGGTATGTTAACTTTTTTATTATAATTATATATATTTTTTTAATTTTAACACATAAACCTGCAACATGTAATAAAATATGTTTTTTATTCTTATGATGTAGAATAGTGTTATTAATTCATTGCTAGTTCTCAAAAATGTAAAGTAAGTTTTAAAAAAAGTTCTTTTTTAAAGTTGTTCATAGAATAAATGTATAAATTTTATAAAACTATAAAAAAATATTTCAAAAAATAAACGATTTAATAAAAATACGGTTAAAGTAAGTTTTAAAAAAAGTTCTTTTTTAAAGTTGTTCATAGAATAAATGTATAAATTTTATAAAACTATAAAAAAATATTTCAAAAAATAAACGATTTAATAAAAATACGGTTAAATATGTAGTACACCCAAAATAATTAATTAAATACGGGTAGGTAGTAAATTCTAAATATAGACATATTTTTAAATAAATCTCTAAGAGGCACCGAATCTTACTAATTTTGGTAATTTTTGGACTATTTCCGAACAGTTACAATTAAGCATTCAAATGGACATTACTATTTTCTGTAACTGTACTTCCTTTTTCATTTTGAATTTTTCCCAAGCATGTATTTTCATTCACTTTTTTTTTAAATTTCTATATGCTTGCCAGGTTTTAAGGCTTTTTAAAAGAGTCTTTAAAAAATTTTCCCGAACTTGATTCATATCAGCTTTGACAGTATTTTTTTTCCACATATTTTTGAAATTATTAAGAGAATGGCTTATCTTACCGAAGAATTATAAAGGAAAAAGTTTTAGAAAATTCTCTACAAAAGAGTTCTTACCTTTATATCAGTTTACGTGTTCGAGGGTTTTTCGAGAAAATATTTTTAAAGCCCTTTTATTTAATAATAAAAAAACGTTCGAAAAATAACTTTTAGGGATTTTTTTAAGTAAATAAAAAATATGCTGTTAAAGACCGTATTTTTGTTAGTAGGTATACCCTGAAAATTTTGTACAAATCAAACGAACATTAACGAAGATACAGCGCTTCAAAGTCGGTAAAAATGACCTCTTTTTGATTATTTCGCTGAAAAGTGGTCATTTTTGACGACTTTAAAGCGCTGTATTTTCGTTACTGTTCGTTTGATTTGTACAACATGTTCAGGGTATACTTACAAAAATACGGTATTTCACAGCATATTTTTTATTTGCTTAAAAAAAAATCCCTATAAAAGTTTTTTTCGAGCGTTTTTTTATTATTAAATAAAAGGGATTTAAGGATATTTTTTCGAAAAACCCTTGAATACTTAAACTGAGATATAAGTTAAAGTATTTTTATCCAAAATTTTATAAAGATTGGTAAAGGCGTTTTAGGGTTAGAATTTTTTTACTTATTATACGTTAATTTTGACGCGCAGTGTATTTAACAAATTAAAAAATTTGTGTTTTCTTGAGATTAATTTGTCTTAAATTCGATTCCATGACTATTAAATATCTTGTAAAACCCGGCAAAGATATAGAAATTTAAAAAAAGTGATTTCTAAATACATGCTTTTTCAATGGGAAAAATTCAAAATGAAAAAGGTGCTTATAATCAAAATTCAAAATTTCGGTGTTTTAAACAATATTTTCGTGTTTCGGTGAAAAACAAAAAATAGTCGTTTTAAATGAAACACCCTAATATATACTTTTCTAATTCCTAAACTACTTTTTAACAAGGTGAAATTAAGTTGGGTCTCACCTCGTTCTTTCTGGGCGACTCCTTCAACCCAGTAGCGGATTTCGACAACGAAATGCTGCCAATAAATTCGTTCTTGCGTTTGTTTGACAGCGGCACTGGCGAAGCCACCTGAAAACCGGGATTCAACGACAGCAATCGATCGGCCAGTTCCGGCAAGCCGAGTTCTTGAATATGGGCTAATGTTGCCTGGGCTTCCTCCACGTAGAAAGCGTCCGGTCCCATGTTTTCTTCTGGCGGTTCCGTACAACCGCCCGCTTCCATTATTACAGCCAAGAGGTTCTAAATTCATAAAAAAACTTCGTTGCAATCTTAAACCAGTGCACACGGTTCACCGAACACCGTTTTTAACGAAAAAAATAGAACAACTTTGAAACATTTAAAAAAAAATACTTACCAACTAAGTATTCAAAAAAAAGTAAAATGAAAATCTTCCATGTAGATCTATCAAAAATTTTGTCAAAAAACTGTTTTTTTTTAAATACTTTCAGTTTTTTGGGTTGCTATATTTAAAATATGAATTATAATTTATTTCTTTAGTAGGTAATAAAAAGTGCATAAAAAATAAACTTTTTCTTTCTTGGTTTTTTATAATTTTGTCGATAATATATCAATTTTTTATTGAAATAGGTTTGTTTAGTTTAGACCACTGATATTTGACCTCGCATAAAAACTCTGTTTCTTTTTGTTAAAAGTAGCCGCCAACTATAAGTGAGATTCGTTTTAAAACTAATCCTCTTTTGCCTATATATACCGACTATTGAACATGCCTGGGTTTACAATTTGTTGCTTCGATTTTTATCTTGCCGCTGAATACAAAATATTATTTTTAATTTTGTGGTTAAAACTTGTAAATTGCGCCCGTATTTGCTTCGAGTTTTTATCGATGTTTTTTACATGTAGACGTTTTTAAACGAGTTTAAATGTTCAAAATGTCCCAGTTTTGTTCTTTATTCCACCACCAGAACTTCACCTTATGCTGGGCATTGTACAAAAACTTTTTGATTCCCTAAACAGCAAATATCCAGAATTTGGGACGCATGGGTGAAAAGTGCTGGAATCTGCTTTGACCATTATGGCAAATTTAATGGCAATAATGCACGTAAACTACTAAAGTCGATTTCTGTATTGAAAACTTTGTCATAAGCGTTGCTTTGTTTGTATGTTTTCTACCTACTGATTTATAATTCCTATTTTAGACAATGAATATCTACCCGTATTTGAGGCGTTCAATCAAGTAGTTTTTGGCTGCTTTGGCCAAAACTTAGCAGATGAATATAAAGTCTACATAAAAGAATTTAAACTACAATCATCAAAAGCTGGAATTACATGTACACCAAAGATCCATGCTTTCATTTATCATGTTCCTCAATTTATTGAAGAAACGCAAAGAGCCCTTGGTTTCTTCTCAGAGCAAGCATCGGAGAAAGTTCGTCATTCATTCAATTTATTTTCCAGGAATTTTAATTTATCCAGAAATAACTTAGAAAAATATAATATGAACTTGCTTCGATGTCTTTGTGCATACAATAGTCTACATCTGTAGGCTTAGATTTATTTTGTTGTTTTTTACATTTTTGTTTATCAATTTTTGTTTATCAATTTTTAATTTTATAATTTTGAATAATGCATTCAGAAGAATAAAGTTATGTTTCCTATTATCGTATGAGTCTTTAAAATTAAAAATATTCTACAAATATTAACTTTGAGACGGTCAATATAGAATTGATCGCTATTTCCCAAGATCTACATGGAAGATTTTCATTTTATTTTTTTTTGAATACTTAGTTGATAAGTATTTTTTTTAAAAACGTTTCAAAGTTGTTGTATTTTTTTCGTTAAAAACGGTGTTCGGTGAACCGTGTGCATGCACAGTAGGGTGCTTCAAAAAAAAATTATTTTTTTTCGCTCTTACCCTCTCAAATATTTCTATTTAATAGAAAAACATCCTCACCAAATATGGGCGTTCCAGCTCAACTTTAAGAGGTCGCTGTTTTTATTTTAGTTTCGCATTTAATTAACATGGAAAAAAATAATTTTATGTTTGGACTTTTATACCTCTGTATCAAAGTAACTTATGACAATGATCATTGCAGTTTCTTATATAAAATGTAACGCTCTACAAAAAAGGTCTCTTATTATTTTTCGATAAATTGATTTCTTCTAGAGTTATTCGAGGTCAAAGTTTGATTAATATCAAATTTTCTGCAATGATGAAATAAAAACAGCGACCTCTTACAGTTGAGCTGGAACGCCGATATTTGGTGAGGATTTTTTTATATTAAATAGAAACATTTGAGAGGGTAAGAGCGAAAAAAAAATTAATTTTTTTTTGAAGCACCCTAATGCACAGTGTATAATTAATTATAAATTTTAAAATTTATAATCCTATTTAGCTATTTACGAAACTAATTTCCGTGGTTTTATTTTTACCTTGGCGCTTCCTACAACCAATAAGTATCTGCGACCGTCTGGAACATTTTCATTTTCCACTTTGTTTTTGTTGCACGAGTTGGGAAACACTTCCTTCCACAGAACCAGAGATTTCACTGGTTCAGTTCTTGACAAGTGAAGTAAGCCTTGCTGTCGGCAGAAGCAATGGACGTCTACGAGGTCTTCGTGTATTAAGTGCGAAGCTAAAAGGTACCCTGAATGGTAGATAACGCTTCCCAAAACTGTAAAAAGTCGTTGGCAATCCAATGGTTCTTCATTCTGATAGTAGATATTAACACAAATATTAGGAGTTAAAAATAATAGTTTAATTAAAATGAGGGACTTAGATTAAAATAGGTATGCCACTGGATGTCACTGACCTATTCTATTTATCATCATTGTTTTACCTCTAAAAACAATGATATTATTCATCCAAGCAAAACAGAAAAAGGTATGCGCACAGTGTATTAAGGAATATCAAGCAAACTTTTAAACTTATTCAAAATCGGTTGTTACTGTGGTTTCTCTGGGGATACATGAACAGTTTAGTATACCAGAGCAAAGTTGACACATTAGAACAACCTCGCGAACTGCAGCGGCAGATGAAATCCGAAATCATCCGGATAAGATAGCAAGATCGACACATCATAATTTTCTACGCCACTGTCAACTTTCTGCGGATAATAACGGCAGAATAGTCAAACATTTATCATACTTTTGTGAAACACTTAGCTATGAGCATCAATCGGCGTAAAAAGTGAAAGGTGAAATTTAAAATCGTCGGAAAAAACACGAAAACCTCTGGATACCTAACAATAAAAAGTAAGTATTGTTTTATTTAAAGTACCTAAAATAGCTGAGTATGCAAAACAAATACCAATTACCAACAAATTTGTAAGTAATCAATGTAAATTTTTAATAAATGTTGCCCACTGTGCAAGCATATTTTGCGTCAGTTGTCATAGGTCAGGAACAACCAGTGTCGGTCCAAAATTTCTACTTTACTTTTAAATTTTAATGATTTTTTTATTAATTAAAAAATGGCACTAATGCAAAAACGATAAAGGAAAAACTTTCTTATAGTTATAGGTATAGAGGTCAGCAACTCTATAATGAGTCACTACTAAGAACCAGAAATATAATAGAAAGAGTATTTGGAATTTGGAAAAGAAGGTTTCCAGTATTGGCATATAGCTTAAGATTAAAACTAGATACAGTTTTGTCCATTATTCCAGCTGCAGCTGCAGCTGTACTACATAATATTGCAAGAGACATGAATAAACCAGAGCCGCCATTGCCTGATGATATTAAGGCCATGAACTGGAGTACCATGTTGTTACTCATCCACAAGATAGCATTATGTTTCAAAATCAATTAATACAAGATTATTTTGCCAATTTATAATATTTAAATAAATACAAAAATCCCTAAACTAAATAGAAAATATTTAAAATTAGGATATATATTTACAAATAGGTTTACTCGATTTTTTTGGAAGATTGTCCTCTATAACCAAGAAAAACAGGATTATCATTATTAATTTATTTTATTCGCAATTGCCCCAATTTTCACCTTATCAATTAAACCTTTTTACTAAATTCTTTGGTGGTATTCTGTCTATAATAAGAGTTTCTAAAATTAAAAATGCACCTACCAACTCATTCAGGGCTCCCACGGCTAAATTACAAATTTTATTTAGGAATTTTAAAATTCCAATTGGAGGTTCTAGAGATAAAAAAATAATCATTTTAAAGAAAAATATATATACTAGAGATGGGAATCGGAAAGTTTCCATTTTAAGGAAACTTTCCGTTTTGGAAAGTTTCCAATTGGGAATTTATTTTCATTTTGAAAGTTTCTTTTAAGCTACCGGAAACATTCCTTGGAAACTTTCCTTGTTTTTTTCATTTAAATGTCAATTTTTTAACCGCTGATTTTCGTTAAGGCCACGATACAAGGCCAAGAAACTTTGAATAAGAATTTAATTTGTGTTAATTTAAAGCAGAAGAAGAAGTATAAATAATGTAAGTTATGTTACATAACCTCAATGAAGCCGGATTATTCAGCATCAACACAAAAAACTTTTTTAAAAAAAGGTAAACAAAATAAAAACAATAAAGAAAGTTAAAATCATTTTTACATTTTTGTTGTTTATAGGCATAGCACAATGCCAAGAGAAAAATCTAGTGTTTGGAATTATTACAAAATAGTGCAAAAAAACAAAAAAGTCCATGCTCAAAGCAAGTTCTGTAAGAAAATCTATGTCGTTAATGCAACCAAAAATTTGACAAAAAGTTGCGTGTGTTATATATTTTTGCATAAAAAAAATATTTTCGCAATAAAAAATTTTTTTTTGAAACTTTCGGAAAATTTCGGGAATTTTCGATGGAAAGTTTCCGGGAATTTTCGTCAAATGGGAATTTTCCCATCTCTAATATATACTACTACTTTTGTATATATCTGAGGTAGAAGAAATCTCACCACACTTTTAATTTTATTTTTTTTATCTAAAAAACTAGGCCAAAGTAAAATGTCAAATTTATATTTTAAGAAAAAAAATGTTAACTGTTTAGTTAATAACTATAACAATAATTGGAATGAGGATCTTATTACACAAAAATTTCATAATAAAAAAAATATAAAGTTAGCATAATACATCAAAACATTTTTTAGATTGTTTACTATTTTAGCTATCATTTAAAAGAAAATTAAAAATCCTTTTGTTTGATTTATAACACGGTATATTTTTGTCAAAAACAAACGAAATATGGCTAAAAAATACAAATTTGTAGAAGTCTGGGAGCTACTAGATGGTTTTTGTTTTTAGGTATATTTTGTAGTTTTTTAAGAAAAATGTACGTTGTGATATATTATTTTAAAAATAATTTAATAAACTAGAATCTAAAAATATATATTTTTGAATTGGTGGCGTTCTGATATTTGACGAGAATGGAGAGTGAATTGGAAAAAATGTAACTCCGAGATTCCGTTACACGAGAGAGAAAAAAGATATAACGTAGAAAGAAGGAGAAAGAGAGCTATACGAGTGAACCCGAGTGAATCCGATCGCCCCTCCCCAGATGACCCTTTCCAGATGCATTGTAAGCATATTGCCGGCGTAGGCGAGGATTCAGTTTTGTTTTGCATTTGCTAGTGTATATTTCGAGCGTTTTAACATAAATTAATTTCTTTTATTTAAAATTATAAGTTTTAATGTCCTACACATTGCAAGAGAAAATTGACATGATAAGCTGGTCATTAGTGGGCAATTCTTTACGTCAAACAAGAGACCTATTCTCAGTTTAATTGAAAACAATAAACATTCATTATTATCTAATTTCCAAGTACGTTCTTTACGTTAATTATTTAATTTGCTTATAAAGCAGGTCCGGCTTCAATTCTCGGTGGAGAAATACTTTTTTTAAATTTTTTTATCTCTCGAAAATACTTAATTTTAGAAAGATGTCTTTTTTATTGTCAAATTAACTTGATACAATGAAATAAACGATATTCTCGCGCAAAATTACTTAAAAAAATAAAAATTTTTACCAAATGGTTTATTTCTACCAAAAATAAATAATAAACAATTATGAGTACGGTAGAGTAGCGAATATTCTACTATTTTTATTATTTTATAATAATGCGGCTTATTTGTAATAACGCGGTGTAAAGCCGACAAAAGACAAAGGCGTGGCGCGCTCAAAGCATGCCGCTCTTTAGGCGCGTGCCGAAAGCAAATTCGCTTCTGTGTTTATAATCTTATGTGTTTCTTCTCCACTAAAATTACTGATGGGACGCTAAGGTTCCTTTTGCCGGATCGCGTCACAATATAATAAAAACATATATTTTCTTACCCAGTCCCGATAGTCGCTGGCTTCCAACTCGGTAAGAGCATCATCTATCTGCATTTTGGCCTCGTCGGGCAGATTTAGAAACGGCGCTATCGGCATTACGTTCTCGAACTGATGCGGACTCACTTGCAACGATTTCACGGACAGACTCTGCAACTCGACGAACTGTTGAGCGGTGGCCCACAAACCGCTGCTCAAAATCCTGGCGAAGAACCTCGAGAAAAAGTGATCGACTTGCGTGAGCTTCAGCTCGTCTGTAAAACATTTGTCCAGCGTTTCGTAGGAGAACTCCAGTAAGCGAATTATTTCGTTGTTTATGTACATAATTTCTTTGGCGGAGGCTCTGTTGTCTGGTAACATAAAAAGAAGGAGGTTTTTGTCGCATTGGGTGTATACCACATGTGCCAACCGTTTTTTGTACATCATCGACGAACATTTTGGTTTCGATCTGACTAAATCATCAAGTAAATGATTTAACGTTAAAAACATGCCTCTTGATCCACATAAAATATTTTTTTGCAATGGTCTAGGATAACAGTATATTATATCCTCGTATTCCCCTGAATTTTCGCTCAATTTATCAGTATTTATGTAAACAATTCCTACAGGGTGCTTACATAAAGTCTGCGATAACAACTGCTCATCCTCACCTTTAGAATTCAATAACTCTCTTACAAAATTCGACTCGTTATTAAGTTCATTTATAGGAGGATCCTTTGTAACATCAATGCCAGCCACCCTTTGCAATTTTAATAAAACATCTGTATTATTGATGAATTTCTGAAGGATGTCTTCCAAATTTTGAACATTCACTTCTATGTCATTTATACTTTTCAACCAGTCTCCAATTTTTATATTTCTCTCATTCTTTGACTTGCTGTCCAATGAAAACCCTGCTATCATCACCCTGTTTCCATCTGATAATGTGCTGACGTTTAAGCCAAGCAATGATTCCGCCAATGAAACATTACTGCTTAAATTGTATTTATTTTCTTGATCTATTTCCAGTAATACATCTTTTTCTTCGCCCTCTTGAAAGTCTTGAAACTTCACCTAAAGTACAAAGTCTTACAAATAATTTTATGAGGAAAATGTAATTTGTTAAATGGTGAAAGGTAAATATTTCTAGGAATAAAACAATTAATATTTATGTATCAAGGCAGTAAAGTAGTATGTTTTATCACGAATGTGTCGGCTTTCGCCTCGGCAAATAATTACGTGAGTGATAAAAAATGACTTTAATGCCGAAATGTTATTCGAAATCACATTTAATAATGCTAATAATTAATATTGATGAATAAATCAAATGTCAAGTGTTTACGTATACTGTTTGTAGCGACGGTTACTATATATTTGCCCACCGCACTGTGGGCCCTATGCCCAAACTAGGTTGCAATAAGTCATTATTGAAAATGTATAATTTGCCACTATTGTTTTATTAAAAACATATTCAAACTTGTAAAAACATAATTGCTTTTTGAAAATACTCTACGAACACTTTTTATAAATGCCCAATGTCAGATCTTTAAAAGAAAGTGTATTTTTAATGCAATCGTTTTAATTAAAACTACGATTTTTGGGATTTTTTTTTATAGCTTAGAGGGCCGTGAAAAGCAAAAGTCGTCTTAAACATTTCATAACTGACATTAGACCTGTCAATTAGTTGTGTTGGATACATAAAATTATAGAAAATTCGTGTTTTTTTTTGCTTTTGGCAAGAACTGATAAGGTAATTAACATGAATATTTAATTTTTTATGTTTTGCAGAGTAAAAAAATAGGAAGGCCAACGAATGCCAAGCCAAAATATATATTTTTTATTAGACAAAGATGTAGACTACTAAAAACTGTTAACCAAAAAAATCGCAAAAAATCGCGAAACTTATCCCAGTCAAAAATGTAAACCTATGAGAAAAGAAAATATTACCAATTAATATGCATCTTTAAGTTGTTTATCGCATGTATTGCTTGGGCAATGAGCAAATTATATACTTACATGGCGTTTAATATTTGTTAAAAGTGTTTACGCCTACTTATTCTTTTTATATTACATCAAGGTGGCCTAGATGCATTGTTAAAAATTGCTCAAAAGGCATTAAAAAATCACATTTATGTCCAGAATTATGTTAAGAATCCGAGAATGAAAAATTATACAGGGGTTTCTATTTAATTTTTTGAACCTGGACCCATTTCCGGTGAAACCGGAAGTGACCGAAAAAATATGCGAAAACCCTCCTCTTTATACACCATTTACCTATTACCAACACTCTGTATTTCACTTTTTATCTGCTACACGAAGCAACTGCGTTGAGTCAAATTGAACTATTTTCAGAAAAGGAATCTCTAGATTTATATGTTCAATAATTTTCGGGATAAAACATAGTAACTATCGCGATATATCGATAGTATGTATGCAGACATTACAAAATAATTTTTTTCTGGCTAAACCGCTCATCCAACTTTTACAAGAGACAAAAAGTTTTTAAACAAAGTGAGCAACAGTAAAAAAAATACAAACGAAAATTAGTACCTAACCTGGCTTTTCTGATTATTCTAATTTTTAAAGATAACTGAGTGTAGCACCAAACGACGTTAATTGGCAGTTAAAAGTTACATTCGAAAAATATTCAAAATTCATTAATTCGGTTTTAAGATATTTAAAAAAATACTTATTTTTTAAAACTTTAAAGGCCTCTAACGACTAAACTAAGCAACTTAGTATATAGGTAATTTGAGTTAAATCGACTTATTTTGATCCGTAGATAACGTTGGCATGGTTTGTTACACTAGTTGAATTTTATAAATTAATTTCCAAAAATACCAATGTGGCAACACTGGAAAATTAAAAAATAAATTATATAATTAATTACCAGCATTGGTTAGTCTCAAAGTTTAATTATTTTTAAAGTTTTAAGTAAATAGAAAAAAAATTGAATTAATGCAACCTAGTTTGGACATTGGGCCCACAGTGCACCGTGGCGATTTTTTAATCTAATTAATAAAATTAACTTATTTTTATTAAACAACATTTTATGAAAGGGTCCAATCGACCTCTGCGACGGTGCTTTTTTTAAAATATTATTTACTATCGCTAACAAAAAAAACTCATACAGCTATATTGTGGCTGTGTGAATAAAACTTTTCTGTCAATGTCAAGCTGACATCGAGCTGTCACATAAATTATGAATTTTTTAACAACATTTTCAACCAAACAATGCAGACGAACTCAGGGAAAGCCATTGAAGCCATTTGGAACGAGATAAAGCAAGACGGCGACTTCCATGCTTTGCCGTTTGCGGGCAGTTATTGACAAAATCAGAGGGATGACGAAATATTATTTTTTTTTTCAAACTTCAACCTAACTTTGTATTTAATTTTAGACCTTTCAAATGTGACGTATCATGTTAAAAGCCATAATTACCCCAACGAAATGATAGAAAATCAGGAACACTAGATTTTTGAGCTGTATGAGTTTTTTTTGTTAGCGATAGTAGTTGCTGCTGAAGAGCAGTAGACACATCTTAAAATGTATAATGGGTTGCATACAATACTCGTATTAAACCGGCAGTAAAGTTCTACTTTACTGCCGATTTCTTTTAATTTACTGCTGATTGTTGACTACTTTACTGCCGATTTCGGATAAAATATTGTTATAAACTGTGTATATAATAACCATAAAATAGTATACTATTTTTAACAATAAAATAATAAAAAAAATTATAAAAAAGGTGTTTTTTTATAATTTTCAAACTGGGCATAAAACTTTACCTTTGAAGTATTATTGTCATTTGCATCTGGTGTTTTAGGAAACTTTTTACTGTGTCTTTTACTTTCTCTTCTTCTTATAAGCCTTAAAAACTTTCCCCTTGTACTTTGCCTTAATTGATTTTTAGAAAACGGAGCAACAGTTTCTTTTGGTTTCTGATTATCTTTGTTTTGTGTAACAAAAGGATGGCATTCTATATACAAAAGTTCTCCGGAGTAATCATCCACATAGGGCTCCCAATCAGGTATTGTACTAAAATAAATCAATATTTATTTTATATAAAAATGTAAAATGTGTTTCTTTAAACTGGTTAATTGTGGCTAAATTTAAGAAAAAATTTGTAACATTATATTCTGTAACAAGTTTGGAATATGCAATTCCAAACGTGTTCCAGACTATACTTTTTCTACGCTTTCAAAAAATACCATAAAAAAATAATTTAATTTGGAAAAAGGGATGTTGGATAGGACTATTTTTTTAGATATTAAACACAGAGATGTCGCCACCAGTGTTTATTCCGTCATCCGATGATATAATAATTCATTCTGTAATACTTTAAGGAATATATGTCATTCCACATTAAAAAGTTATATTAGAACGGTCATATTCCGTAATAGTAGAAAAAAATACATTCATTATTAAGTATACAGTGTGACCAATTTGTTTGTGACTCACCCCTGTAAAATCTTTATTTATTGTGCGATTTTAACCGAATACAAACCTGCGCAACCATTACTCCAGAACAAATAAGAAAGGTAGCTACTTACGTATGAAAAAGAATTATTAAGCATATTAAAATAAATGGTGGATAGGTAGAGGTGCCGAAAATCTAATTTACTATTAATTGTAGAGAATTTTTGGAATTCTCCATTTATTGTTTCATTGTTGTTTTAAGTTTCTATTTGTTATTCATCAAAACTTTCAATGTTTTTTTCATGGATAACTTGACAGAATAAATTTTTGTTAAGTTATTATTGTGCATTTTTAATTTGGCTACAAAATCGTTTCTACTAAAAAAAATTTAATAAAATTTAATATAGGGTCGTTTTGAGGGTTGGTGAATCATGTACAGCATAATTAAAAAAAAATCGCTAATATAAATTCTTAAAAATTTACTCTCAAAAACTGACATAATAGGCCTTGAATTTTGTAAAAATATGGCGATTTTTGCTAAAAAAATACCCATTATCAAGATCTACACTTTAAAACAAATTCGGTTAAAATCGCACAATAAATGGAATTCCAAATTGGAATTGATCTTAAGATCAACGAGTTAACACGTTGATCTTAAGATCACGTTTTTATAATTATAAATTAATTTATCATTAATTTATTTATGAATTTGTAAAAATATACCTAATTTTAATTAAAATAAGATACTTTCTATAAATGTAGACAATTGTCATGCAAACTAAAATAAATTACTTAAAGAAAAAGATCTTTTGGATTATTACTTATTGACCAAAATTTCGTAATAAATAAATTTTATCAATGATTAACATTAAATAGTAGGTACCTACTTGGACAACATCATTCCTCTGGGAGGTATTTATTTGCCAATAGTGCCTAAATGACAAAATAAAAAAATTTATTTATAATATAGGGACCTATCTAGATGTAGCTGCATTTTAAATCACTGCTCTCGAAAAAACTTGTTGCTGCTAGGTAAAAATTATTTGGGTGTTCTGTTGTATATATATAAATATATGTAAAAGAAGATATATATCTAAGAAAAATATAATCTGCTTATTTGTATCAGAGGTTGTATCATTGCATCATTGGTTTCTGGAATTTTTTTTAATATAAAATAAAAAAAAAAACTAAAAATGAACCTATCTGTAAAAATTCTTAATTTAGCTGGTTTTTGCGCGTTGTATTTTATTCTAATTTATTTTTTAAGTAAAAGAACACTTTCGAGGCATACAGCCTCAGGCATTTACCCATTTGGAGTTCAAAATTTACCTTTCGTCAGAATCTGAATAATATGAAGTACAGCTGGATCCTTCTGACCATTCATCCTCCGAACTTTCATTTGTAACATTTTGCTGTGTCCGCTGCGGCAACAATTTTTGAGACTCCATAAAACTGTGTTTTGGTTTTTAAATTTCATAAAACAAAAATAAAAAGTACATAACCTCAATAAATATTTACAGTTATAAAATTGTATCGGCAACCAACATTACAAGAAAGGAATTTGGTTACATAATTGTTACTTTTTTGAATAAACTATTTACCTATTTGATGAATAAAATTTATTTCAGTATCATATTATATGATTCATATATTATGCCAACACATTGCTTTCAATGTTTTATTTTATTTAAAAAAGTGCGTTCAGTGAGAACATTTTTTATGTCGATTAAAATAATTTTAATCGACAAAATAAATCCCACTTAATTAATTTTATTAATAGTTTTTAATAATGAATAAATTAATTATAATAAATTCTAAAATTACACACACAACTTTATTTGCAATCTTAATAGATAAAAAATCTCAGTGTTCGAATATCGACCGTCATTCATAAAAATATTTCTAGGTTAACCGCCGGCATTAAGCCTAAGCAAGTTTTTAATTTTAAAAATAGGTATAGGTTTATTCGGAAAATAAGTTTAAAATATATTTTTTACATCATGTCTGATCCAGCAACACCTACAACATCATATCCTTACAGTAAAACCAATGATAGAATTCAGGATGAGGTTAGGTTATAAAATTGGTAATTTATTAAGGAAAATATTTATATTTAACTCTATTACAGAAATTAATGGAACCTTTTCAATATATTTTACAAGTTCCTGGTAAAAATATACGTGCAAAGTTGTCAAGAGCCTTTAATTATTGGCTTCACATCCCCGAAGAAAAACTGATCAAAATCAACGATATCATACAACTTTTACACAACGCAAGTTTATTGTGTGAAAACTAGAATTATATATATAAAGTAATACATTTTTAAATATTTTCATTTTAGATTGGATGATATTCAGGACAATTCAATTCTACGAAGGGGAATTCCAGTCGCTCATTCTATTTATGGTGTTGCTAGTACAATTAATTCCGCTAATTATGCATCCTTTATTGCGTTTGAACGAGTTATGGATTTGGAACACCCAGAGGTAAGGTTTTATTATTTTTTTATGTTTTCATGTAAAAATATGATTTTAGGCTGTGGGTATAACATTACAGCAAATTTTAGAATTATACAGGGGACAAGGAATGGAAATTTATTGGAGGGATAATTTCACTTGCCCTAGTGAAGAGGAATATAATCAAATGGTGATTAGAAGTATGTTTTGTTTTCTTATCCATGGATATGCATATTGTATAATTTTATTGTTTTTTTCCTTCTTATTTTCCAGAAACTGGTGGTCTTTTTATGCTGGCAATAAGATTAATGCAATTATTCAGTGAAAATAAGTCTGATTTTACAAAGCTAGCAGGTACCTTGGGCTTGTATTTTCAAATAAGAGATGATTATTTGAATTTGGTATCTCAAGATTATATGGAACATAAAAGTTATTGTGAAGATTTAACGGAGGGAAAATTTAGTTTTCCCATAATTCATGCTATTAAAAGTCAACCCAATGATAAACAAGTAGTTCACATTCTTCATCAAAGGACCAAGGAAATTGAAGTGAAGAAATACTGTGTAGCATTGTTGGAAAAGTATGGTAGCTTTGAATATACAAGGAAAAAATTAAAGGAATTGGAACTGGAGGCCAAAGAAGAATTGGTGAAATTAGGTGGCAACCCATACATGGAGGAATTTTTAAACTCACTTGCACAAGTATAAGTATTTATATAGTATATAAATATAATATAATATAAGTATATTTATTTAGTTAATCAGTATTGCATTTTATAAATTTATTAAAACAAATTAATGTAAGCCTAAATAATAAAAATGTACTTCCATTATACAAGGTGTCCCTGAAATGCCTGTATAAAATTATACCACATTTCTAAGACAAATATAATGTGATATAACTAAATTTACTTCTACACAAAAGTTGATAACTAAGATAGAGGGTGTCAAAGTTGTAAGTTGGTTTTTAATTTCATTAAATAAATTTGGAAAAATTTAATTTTTGGGCGTTTTTCAGTCCGTGAAAATTAGATTAAAAAAGGTAGGTAGTAGCTGTCTGTTACACTGCATCTGTTTAAATGGTTACACCTTTTTATTTTAAATACAAACTAATCACAATAAAAGGCATACTTACACTAAACAATTTAAACGCACAGTTACTTGGAGCTACAATGTGTACTTTTTTGCGTAATAAAGATAAAACAAGTTTTATTTTTATTAAAACATTAATGCACCAAGGCGCATTTATTTTTTTAAAGAAATTCCCCCCCCCCCCAGAAAAACTCCAGAATATCCAATTTTATGCAAAAACGTTTGTTTTTTATAAAGTTATTCAATAAAATTAAAAACGAACGTTGACACCATGTATACTGGTTATTATTATTATTATTATTACATCACATTATTATGGTCTCAGGAATATGTGGTATTATTTAGGCATTTCAGGGACATCTTGTATACACCAGTTTAATTTTGTTGTATTGTAATGTTAGTGTAAATATGTTTTTATCAATAATTTATAGTGTGCCTCAAGTTATGGCAAATAATTTAAACAATTAAAAATGTCTGTCATTTGCTTGTTGCTAAAGATTTAACGGTTAAAAAAAAACGGATTTTTTCGTCGAAAAATTGTCAAATAAAAACCGGAAACCTGGCAATATTTTAATACAGGGTGCACCAAGTATTCCATGTGTATACATGTGGGTATTCTTCTACAAGGTTTCGTTATATTAGTAATTACAAGTCTATTAAAATAAAATTTAAATTTAAAAAAAGAAACTACCATTATTAAAATATTTCGTCAAAAACACTTTTTTTTAATTTAATAACGTAAAGTTGTAACTATTTTTAGTTTTGACAGGTTTTCAGTTTTTTTTTTTAATTATTTGAGAATCGCAATTTTTTTTCAAATTTTCAAATGACACTTTAATGGACTTGTAGTCATGCAACTATTTATATATTTTTCCATAAAAAATGTATAAAAAATATTTGAAATAAGTACTAAAATTTAATAGTTTTTCTAATTCATAAAAAAATATAAACTTTTCTCAAATTTTAAAAATTTTCTGGGGAAAAAACGGTATTTTTTGGGCAATCAATTTTTCCGGAAATTTAATTTCTACTTGTCGCAATAATTATTTAAAAAATATAGTTAATGGTTTAGTGTGAGGCGCCATATATTATATAATTATTTCATTAGATATATAAAAAGTTTTGCAGGAAAAACAATATATAAAATTACTACGATTTTGCATGTATGTATATTTAAAATTTTTTAATTAAAAATATAAGTTTAAAACTTTTTTCGATTGAAAATTCCCTGCGATGGCGCTACATGTTCATGATTTTTGTTTGTGTATGTTTAATTACTTTAATCATAAATTATATCGATAAACGACCATAACTTACAAATTAACCGCCTCTATATCCATAAAATACGTGTGCAAATGTTGATTTTTTTCAATTTGAATACTTTATGTTTTCCTGCAAAACATTTTATACATCGAATGAAATAATTATGGGACATATGGCGCCTTATACTTTAGACATAAGTTTTACTGTTGTCTTGTTTTAAAAAAATATCATATACTTACCTAAATTGTGATCATTATAACTATAGTTCTAGTAAAAGTTTTGTATTGGTCTATATTATATTTGTTTTTATATTATATTTCCTTATATGTATGTATATTTTATAAAATTCCTGGTAAATATATTTTTATTAATAACATCAAGTTTTATTTAATAAATTATAAATATATTTTTAAATTTATTTATGTATCTAACCACGTAAAATTTCAGTTTTACGGACAGGAAGACAAAAGATAGTGGTGGTATCTCAAAATATAAAAAATCACAAATTGGATAAAAATGTATATATGTAACATTTAATTTTTTTCAAAATTCCCAGGATTGAAGTTTTAAAGATTTTTTGTCTTGACATTTTAATGGACTTACGTAACTTTACTCTAATTAAACCGACCTTGTAGCTTTTCAAATAAAAAAATACCCATACATTGAAGAATACAAATTATAATCATATAAGTAAATATATTTTTGCAGAATTGTTAAGTTACTTTAAATAAATAAAGAATAACCACATTATATAAATGTATCTACTTTGTTTTAAAATATAAAAAAACAATATCAGCAGTCGATTTTTTCGGGGATTTACCAAAATGCGGAGGAAATACATAATAAATTTATAATATTCGAAATACTAAAATTTGATAGTTGGAAGCCTACCATTTAAAATATTTTTTTCTAGTTTATAAGAAAAGATTTTTCCCAAAATATCCGTTTTTTACAATTTTTCAATAATTTACAATTATGATGGTTTAAAAAATATCTTATATAAATTGTGATCTCAGATTTTCAAATTACACTTTAATAGACTTGTAATTATGCAACTATAAATTTTTCCATACAAAATGTAAATATAAATTTTTTAGTGTTGCAACGGTTACGGTTACGGTTAATTCACGGTTTTCGATATTATACGGTTAACCGTAACCGTATACGGCATTTACGGTTTTTCATGCTACATTGTGAATGCATGTAAAAAGAAGATTGAAGAGTATTTACCGTTACCAAATATACCACATACGTCAAATCCGTTTACATTCTGGAAAACGTGTTACACGTTTCATACAAACCATTGTCAGTGAATTCGGAGAGGTTGTTTTCGACTGCAGGTTTTGTGCAAACACCAAATAGGAACAGGCTGATTCCGCAGAATTTGCAGATGTTATGTTTTTTAAATAAAAATTTGACTCGTAAATTTTGAATATTAAGTTTTAATTTTTTTATTTTTTAAAATATATTATTCAAGTACCTACTTAGGTTTTACTTTACTGTTTTTAGGCTTAAAATGTTACTCATTTCCTTTTATTTTATAGTTTTATTAGAAATTCTGTTTTTGTTTTACATAAATTAATTATTATTTAACCTTATTTAACCTTTACTGAACGTGTGTATTAATTTCATTTAGAACAATAAACTTAACTTTTCGTAATTCTCTAATTTTTTTTTAATAACCGTGAATTTATTCGTAACCGTAGAGCTAACCGTAACCGTAACCGTAACCGTAAAACCCGAAACCGTTGCATCACTAAAATTTTTCTCAAATTTTCAATTTTTCTGGGGGAAAAACGTTATTTTTTGGGCAATCAATTTTTCCGGAAATTTTAAATTTCTACCTGTCGCCATAATTATTTAAGAATATAGTTAATGGTTTAGTATAAGGCCCCATATGTTTCATAATTATTTCATTCAATGTATAGAAAGTTTTGCAGGAAAAACATTATTTAGGTAAAAATTATATAGATTTTTCTCAAAATATACGTTTTTTACAATTTTTTAAGATTTTACACTATAGCCAATGGTTTAGACACTTCTTGTTTAAAAAATTATTGTATATAAATTGTGATCATTATTTCTAGTAAAAATTTTGTATTGGTCCATTTTATATTTTGTATTGGTCCATTTTATTTCTTGTTTAAAATAATATGGTATATAAATTGTGATCATTATTTCCAGTAAAAATTTTGTATTGGTCCATTTTATATTTTGTTTTTTATATTAAGCTAACCCTTCCTTATATGTATTATATTTCATAAAATTTCTTGTAAGTTTATTTTCATTAATTATGCACATCAAGTTTTATTTAATAAATGATATATTTTTGAAATAAAAACGTTTATTTAGGTATCTGAATCGTAATTATTAACAAATTCATCATCACTTTCATCTTCAATATTCATCTCTTCATCTTCAGTACTAATAATGGTTTTTTTGCTTGCAATTTCTCCTAGGGTTATAACATACTGAAGGGTATATTTATTAAAATCACAACTAAAAATGTAAAATAAAAATAAATTCATATTTTATGAAGAAAAAACTTACATTTTGGAAATTTGTTCGTTTTTCCTAATCAAACTTTTTTCCAGTGCCAATAGTGCGGGTAAGTTTTTTTGTGGTTTAATTCGAGGACCGTGTACAGTAAGTAAATTTTGAGCCCATAACAAATAGTATTCCAAGTGTCTAGAGTTGTCCAAAGCACTTGCAATAATAAGAAGAATCCTTTCCACATACTGTTCACTTAAGTTTGAAATTGTTAATTCAACTAAAAATAAGGTATATTATTGTTATTATTTACCCTTTTGATTTTCAAGATTTCTCTACTAACCGTCTTTTACAGGTATATTTTCTATGACTTCCTGGATGAGATTGGCTTCGTTAAGTTTCATCGACATCATAAGCGCTAAAAACGTTATTATAGTAACAAAAATAAAACCAAAACACTTCTAATTTACCATTTGTATGATCTCCTTTATTAATAGCATCTCTTACACTTGCCGGCGTAATGCCGAATTGCAAATTCCACGGATCGAACACCAAGCCGGTGCACAAGGAATAAATCATCAAGCCTTCGGTGGTAGCGGCCACCCATTGCTGACCGGTGGGCGAAAACCTCAAAGAAAATACCCTCACTTCCGGTTTAAACACGCGACTTGCCATGTCGCCTTTTTTCACACCCGGAAGCTTGATTGCCACGTTGCCGCCTTCCCTTTCTTCACGTTCCTCTATTAGGGCAACGTTGCCGAATTCCGTCACTTTCCTGCGGTTAATAAAGTCCTAAAACAAGTAACATTGTTTGTACAAGCACAAGCCTTCAGAATTATATTATTTACTTACATCAACGGCATCTAAGGACCGGTTTTGGGTAATTTCAAATTTTTTAAGCAATAATCCTTCCTTTACGTTATAAATACAAACATTTTTGGATTGCCCTCCAGCCAAAATGCATTCTCCATCTGCTGAATAGCACAAACTATTAAAGGACCTAAAATATAACGAAAATATTTAACATAATGTTCATTACAAGGCAATACCGTATTTTCATTTTTCCTGTAGGTTTCTAAGAGTGGGAGACGCCGACTCTCGGCCCGGTTTTTGTAATTGCCCACCAAAGACCAGCTTATCATGTCAATTTTCTCTTGCAATGTGTAGGACATTATAACTTATAATTTTAAATAAAATAAATTCATTTATTTTAAAACGCTCGAAATACACTCTAGCAAATGGAAAATATGACTGAATCGTCATCGTGGCGATCGGGTTCATCCGAGTGTATATATTTCAAATGAAAATGCGGTATAAAATTGATATAATATATACAGGGTCTAATATCAAACCCATCAAACTCCATTAAAGTACAATTTTTAGAAATTAAAAAATAGGCCAATTTTACAATTTTCTCCATTAAATTTTTTTTTTAAATTCCATTTAATTCGTAAACAACCGCGAATCGAAAATTTAAGCATCAATTTTTTTATTGATTTAGATATATTTTGAAAATAGATATATTTGAGTATTTTTTTTAACAAAGATAAATGTTTTTATTTTTAATAAATATGGGGAAATTGTTTTGAATTGTTATTATTATTATTATTATTATTTTATAAACAATTTCGATATTATTCGAAAATGGGATTATACTATTACCAATGATAATTTACCATGCCTAAAAAGCTGATGAGAAAATTAAAAAAAGAAAAATGTATGAATATTTTTTTTGATGCCGCGCCACTAACGCTTACAAGCGTTTCGCTGGCTTATGTGAGTTTTTCTAAAGTGTTACAAGGAGATATTTGAAATAGTATATTATGTATCAAGTTTTATAAACGCCATTTTAGTTACGAGTTTTATTAAGCACGAGTGAAGCTTGCAAGCGAGTGTTTAATAAAAACGAGTGTCTAGATAAGTTTATCTACGACGACCACAAAGAAGAATTTAAATCCAATTTTATTTATTAACATTTGACATCTGTCAAATGTCAACGGAATTAACCTCACTTTTCTTTAATTTATAATAAAGCTAACTTCAGCCCGTGACTAAAATGCCCAAAAACACTATTACTAACTTCAGCCCGTGACTAAAACGCCATAAAGTCACAGCTCGTCAATGTAGGAGTAGATAAAATGGTTTAAAAAAATTTTGTGAAATTTTTTCCCTTATTTTGAGGGGCGGGGGTAACTTTGGATTTTTAATAGGGATGATGTAATCTTTTTGAATTCTAATCTATGTAAAAAACTAGGTATGTGTGCAAAAAAATTGTTTTGCGATTTCGGAATTATGATTTATTAAATTATAAAATACTAAAAAATAATTTTAATTTATTTATCAAGTGTACGAAATTCATTTAAAAAAAGTGTGAAAAAGTGTTTGGAAGTTGAAGGGGACTTATGAAGAATTTCTTAGACATGACAGACGATAAATTAGTTGTTAAATTGTTAATATTTTTTAGAATCTTAACCAACACAATTACTCCAAAAGTTTATTATTTAAATACGAATGTTACTACACTAATGCGCGTTAGTGGCCGCGCGGCATCACACAAATATTCATAACTTTCCTAATATTAATGGCTACTAACTTTTTCTTTTTTCAATTTATTCTTAAGCATTTTACGCATAAAAAGATTTTAATCATCGTTTTAAATTATTTTATTAAAAACAATGGTGTAATCCTATTTACAGATAAAATTTATACCTTGGCCAAAATCAAAATTTAAAAAATTGTTTATAAATTATTAGGTACAATTTAAAACAATTCCTCGATATTTAATAAAACATTTATTATGATTGAAAAAAATCACTGAAATATCTTTATTGGGTTCCAAAATATAAATTAATAAATACATTAATGCGTAAATTTTCGATTCACGTAGGTACTATAGTATGTATTAAAGTTGTGTACAAATTTTAGTTTCTAAAGATGGCTTACGCTATTCCAAAGGCTTAAAAGATGTGTTTTAAAACTTAATAATATAAACCGATTTAAAATTATAGAACTTACTTTGCTTTTAGAGACTGCTTGGCGGTAACCAGGTCCGTATCCGACAAACCGCTTCCGAGATCGTTGCGGCCATCGATGCTGATCACTTGTTCGGCGGTTTTGACGTTAAACACCGATATGCTGCCATCGAGGGTGGCGACGGCCACTTCCAGGCCGTCCGGTTTGAATTCCACGCACATGCCGTCGGCGGTAAGCTCGATGGTTTCGTGCGCGGAACCTTTCTCTATCGCGTCCCATACGCGCAGAGTTTTGTCCCACGAGACCGAGGCCAAAACCGAGCTCGTCGGGATTTGAGTGAATGAAACTGATGACTAAAATCAAAGGGAAAAAGGTCATTCCATGAAAAACGATACCAAGGGTGAAAAAATAAATATGTTCTTTTCGCATTAAATATGATGAATTTTAAAAGAAAACATTCCAAATTATAATGTGCGACAAAAAAAAACTTGAAGAAACGCGTAATTTTTAAGTTACTTAGTTAATTAGTCTTCAAAATCTGTACTCAATTGAGTTTACTTAAGTAAACTGGCTTAATGACCATTGTGCCTCTAACTATTGGAAATACGAAAAAAACTGTTAATCTGTCAACCGTTTTGCCACGGTCAATTGACCGGTTAAAATATATTTAATTTTTGCAGCATTTTATTTAGGTATCAACAATTACCCGTGTATCTCAAAATTTTTGCGATCGTGCAATATCGACATCATTTACAATTTGGTGGTTTCCCGAGTCGAGGGGTTGCTAGGCCAGACTCGGCGCTTTGCCCTTAAAGCGGGACATATCTTTTTTAATAGCGAAACATAACTTTTTAAAGCCGCACAAACGTTTCTAAAGATGGACATAACTTTTATAATAAAAAAAATTTGGTAACGTATTTTAATTACCTATTTATTAAGTACAAATAAATCACAGTAATATTTATTTTGATATTTTATTTCATTTTATTGATTGACCAAAAACCGGTCAATTGATCAAAAATAATTTGATCGGTCAATTCCACAACCCTAGGATTGCGTCAGTCCCGAAAAAATTGATAATTATCATGTTACTTTGCCACTGTAACCCCCAAAACGAAAAATCATATATGAGTCATTCCAAATAAAAACACCAAATGGGGTGCGCTGCATGATTTTTTATTTTGATGAAAAAATTTGAGGATGATCTTTTAGGTGTCAAATATGAAAATCCGTTGCCGTTTTAATTTTTTGTTGCTTTACTTTTATTTGACACCCCTTAGAAGTCTGAAATAGTGTCAATTTCTTACTCTCTTATAGTGGGCCAGAACTTTTTTTCTGTGACAAATATTGAAATAATTTTAATTTTGTTTTACTGTCCAGTAAGTGTGTTTTCGATATAAATTATTATTATCCAATTAGTTAATCTCATAAAAGAATGGTAAACCACTAAAGATTCATGATAATTTGCCAATTTTTGTGATTTTTGTCTGGCTCCTGTGCCTATTCTACTGAATTTAGAAGGTTAATTTTTTTCAGGTATAAAGTACTTATACAATAGAAAACGTAACTATTATTTTAAGTTTCTAGAATATCAATTTCTTTATTAAAAAAATTATTGAAAATTGATAATTCTCAAAATTAGCCAATTTTGACCTCAGAAATCATTATGTTGAGGAAAAAATAAAAATCTGAAACTCTCAGGAAATGTAGTCCCCACCTTCATCTTTTCAGTCCAGTTAGTCTTGTTTTGTTATTTTTATCCATGTAAAAGATATAATAATTTTTTTAATGCCAGTTATAAGCGATATTGTTAGTTTTATTTATAATTTAAAATTTAGATGGCTTTGACTTTGTCAATTCATGTTTGGTGGAGAAATGTCAGAACTGCGAAAAATATTTCATAAATATTATTTGTGCGTATTTCTTTGGTAAATTTTAATTTTGTATATAACATAATATGTTATATTATGTTATATACAAAACTTTTTAAAGTCACCAAAGGAATACCACAAATAATAATTATGAAATATTTTTGATAGTTCAGCCATTCCACGCTACTCGGGAATTTTTGTAGCGTCCGTTACAATCAAAAATTGTGATTAAATGCTACCGTAATTAAATTAAATACCTTTACAATAGTTAATATTGCAAACATGTTTATTATGCTTGTAATACGAGCCCTAACCACATAATGTTCGGACACTTCATAATTTATACAGAAATTTTTTTCGTGAATACTATCTCAAAATTATTAGAAGTTATGAAAAATTCAGCTTATTTTGGCATATACCCCTCGAAGCGATTTTTATTTTTAAAAAGTTTACCTTTTATTTTTAGCTTTTAAAAAAAGGCTAACTTTTTAACTTTTTTTTGCATGAGTAAAAAAAGTTATAAATGGGCCCATTAAAAAGAACATAAAATATTATACAAACCCTGAAAATTTGGTAAAAATTGTATAAATAATAAGAAAGTTATAGCGATATATATATCTGCAAAATCTCCCGTTTCCTAAGAAAATTGCAAAAACTCTTTAAAAATAGCATTTTTAAATTACTTATACTTTTTTATAACTTATTTATTTTTTACCAAATTTTCAGGGTTTGTATAATATTTCATGCTCTTTTTAATGGGTCCATTTATAATTTTTTTTACTCATACAAAAAAAAGTTTAAAAGTTAGCCTTTTTTTAAAAGCTAAAAATAAAAGGTAAACTTTTTAAAAATAAAAATCGCTTCGAGGGGTATATGCCAAAATAAGCTGAATTTTTCATAACTTCTAATAATTTTGAGATAGTATTCACGAAAAAAATTTCTGTATAAATTATGAAGTGTCCGAACATTATGTGGTTAGGGCTCGTAATTAGGCTTAAACTTATAAGCATAATATTTACGGTAGTTTTACTCACAATTTTTGATTGTAACGGACGCTACAAAAATTCCCGAGTAGCGTGGAATGGCTGAGTTCTGACATTATATATTTGGTAGGTACCTATGTTATATTTTATATGTTGTATAATCCTAATGAAGTATTTAATTCGTTAATTGGTGTTTAAAGAAGAATGTAAAACATATATTCAAGATCCTTATGATTTATATCGTGAAGTATAATAAGTGAAATTAATAAAGAGTTAATTTAAACGTATAAAAATATGTTGAGCAGTTTTTGTCGGTTTCTTTTATAATTTAAACCAAGTTAGTCTTGTTTTATTATTTGTATTCCTTTATTAAGGCACTGAATAGTTAAAAATTATATGTATGTATTTTAAATGTTAGTATTGGAAAAAAATTGACACAATCTGTAAATACTTCTTAAATTTTAGTTTTTAGGTAACTGGTTAAAATAAAACATGTAAGTTATAATAAAGGGGTTTATTTAGAATATTTTTTTGGTTGTTGCTTATATATTTTAACAGTTTCAAACTTCTCAGAACTTGAATATTTTCGTACTTTTAAATTTTCATGAGAAAGAGGTACAAAATTATAAAATGTTCTTGTATTTTTAATTGCAATTAAATTCATGAATCTTTCCATTAAATATGTTTCTGCAGCTTCAATATCTTTTTTTGAAACAAAAAAGAATTTGATTCCAGGAATATTATCTTGACAAAAATGAAACATTGTTTGAGGGGTTAAGATGTGACTACCTTGGGTTCTTTGTAGACTGGCTTTTCTTACAATTCTCTTAATAGTTCCTCCTGCACCATCACAGGGGCTTTTCCCGTGAGAAGTAGCGAAAAAATTCCATTCTGCTTGCAACCCAAAGTCATCATTATGATAACACAAATTGGCAAAAAATTTTTTATTTTTATATTGTGAGGCTGCCCCATCACTAAAATAGTGTACCTTTTCCAACGCTGAGTAGTTTTGTTTAACATATTCCATAAAAACCTTTTGAAAAGCATAAAAAGATGCAGTGCTATGTGTAATACTGTCACTAATAACACAAAATGTTTTACATTGAATTAAACCATCTTTTTTTAAATAAATCACAAAAGGATGTAAAGTAGCTTGGTCATTTGTCCAGTGAAACGATTGCACTTCGTCTTGAACCAGAAATGTAAAATTTTCTGATAAATCCACTAATATTATGCACTCTGAATCATTAGGTAGTTTTTCCTTTATAATTTTTAAATATTGGGATTGTTTTTTGGCAATAAAATGATGATGTTTTAATCCCATTAACTGTTCTTTTAAATCCTCAATAAATTCTTCCACTGTTTTAATAGCAGTAAGTAAGTGACAACGATCGGTGGATGCCCATTGCCTGTATGTTATCATGGACAATAATTCAGCATCGTCACGAAATTCAGAATCAAGTATATCTACCCCTGGACATTCTTTGCAACATGATAGCATACAATTTTCATTAGAATCATCGCAAACAATTTTTTTTAATAAATCTTGGTATGATAATTTTATTTTACTTGCCATTAACATTAATTTAACATTTTGGTGAATTAAACACACACATACTGAGTGGGTTCCGCTAGCTCCTGCTAATACACAATTCTTTGGCCGCAAAAGGGCAAATTTTGAAAAACCAATGCTAATATCTGGAAAACACTGCTTAAACCTGGCATAAATCTCCTTTAAATTAAATAGAACCAATCTTTTTTGCTGTTTAGATTTTTCGCCATCTTTATTACGTACAGTTAAACAATCTTTTTGACCTGGCATTACTCTACTAATATCGTCATCCTCATAAAATTGTTTTACAGAATTTATAATTATATCCTTAAATTTCCTTCCACTTTCTTTCTTATCAACTTTAGGTAGTACACCATACTTTTCTCGCAGTTTTTTAGCATTTCTCACAAGGTACTCACTGCAGTTAAATTCATTTTGTATTTTAGAAACAGTCCAATTTTTTGGCAACAAACTCAAAATTTGGTATTTTTCATCAAATGTAGTTGAAACTTTAAATTTAATCTTAAGTTCTTTTATAAGTTCAAGGTACTCTGATTCATAACCAGGCGTTTGAATCGTTCGTTCTACAGTTTCCTTAACTTCAAATACATTTTCCAATTTTCGGTAAATTTTTTTTGCAATCTCGTTAACTTTCTCATCTATTTTTCTTTTCCTTCTAGAAACATGAATTTTTTGTATGGCAGGGATTGGAGATTCTCCCAAAATTCTACATATTTCATTAAGTGGTATTATTTGGTATTTTTCATCAAATGTAGTTGAAACTTTAAATTTAATCTTAAGTTCTTTTATAAGTTCAAGGTACTCTGATTCATAACCAGGCGTTTGAATCGTTCGTTCTACAGTTTCCTTAACTTCAAATACATTTTCCAATTTTCGGTAAATTTTTTTTGCAATCTCGTTAACTTTCTCATCTATTTTTCTTTTCCTTCTAGAAACATGAATTTTTTGTATGGCAGGGATTGGAGATTCTCCCAAAATTCTACATATTTCATTAAGTGACTCTATCGCAGAAAAATCTGGCTCAAACTGTTTCTCGCTTTCTTCCGTTTCATAAGAACATTGTGCATCTGTGTTTTTGTTTGTTTTTTGTAAAATATTATTTTTGCTTATTAAATTATAGCAACGGGTACAAATTGCCAATCCTGGTATAAGTTTTAAGTGGTTATTTTCTTCGCAAAAAGATAAGGTTATTTCCCGTAAAGATTTTGAGATTATCTTTTTATGAATTGCTAATGGATCACAACACTTAATGCCAAACCGACTATAAAACTGATCCAAATTTTTTTTATAATGATATGTACAAATATTTACAATTGATGGAATGCCAATACGTCTAATTAGTAGCTGTTTATCCACTTCACTTATTTCAATTTCCGGTATCAACCATGAGAACAACATTCTTCTTTTTTGAACAAACCAATCGAACACTCCATTATTTATTACACTTGCAAACTTGCAAGCTTTTTAAAATCACAAAATAAATACGCACAAATAATATTTATGAAATATTTTTGACAGTTCTGACATTTCTCTACCAAACATGAATTGACAAAGTCAAAGCCATCTAAATTTTAAATTATAAATAAAACTAACAATATCGCTTATAACTGGCATTAAAAAAATTATTATATCTTTTACATGGATAAAAATAACAAAACAAGACTAACTGGACTGAAAAGATGAAGGTGGGGGCTACATTTCCTGAAAGTTTCAGATTTTTATTTTTTCCTCAACATAATGATTTCTGAGGTCAAAATTGGCTAATTTTGAGATTTATCAATTTTCAATAATTTTTTTAATAAAGAAATTGATAGTCTAGAAACTTAAAATAATAGTTACGTTTTCTATTGTATAAGTACTTTATACCTGAAAAAAATTAACCTTCTAAATTCAGTAGAATAGGCACAGGAGCCAGACAAAAATCACAAAAATTGGCAAATTATCATGAATCTTTAGTGGTTTACCATTCTTTTATGAGATTAACTAATTGGATAAAAATAATTTATATCGAAATCACACTTACTGGACAGTAAAACAAAATTAAAATTATTTCAATATTTGTCACAGAAAAAAAGTTCTGGCCCACTATAAGAGAGAAAGAAATTGACACTATTTCAGACTTCTAAGGGGTGCCAAATAAAAGTAAAGCAACAAAAAATTAAAACGGCAACGGATTTTCATATTTGACACCTAAAAGATCATCCTCAAATTTTTTCATCAAAATAAAAAATCATGCAGCGCACTTTTAAATTCATTTTTGGTGTTTTCATTTGGATTGACTCATATGTTTTATTATTATACCTTACAGATTGATTAGTGTATTTAGTAAAAGTAACATTGTGGTGGTAATGATTTAAAATACTAATATCTGAGCGTGAGACTAATTTGATATGTGTTTATCTTGATTAAAACGTTTCGGGGGTTACAACTTTTTTTATATGTCGATATATATGTGTGTATTTTTTGAAGAATGCAATAAGCATTATTTTTAAGGCTTATTCGACGGCCCACTAGCGCCGCCATCGGAAAAGCAGTCACACCTCTTTTAAAGAGGTGTGACTGCTTTTCCGATGGTGTATTTTTACCTAAATGGCAACGGACCTACTAAAATACCGAATACTTAGGTTTTTGTCAATAATTATGTTTCTACCAATTTTTTTTACCGATTTTTGGCAACAATTTTACCCTTTTCGCCTATTTATCAACGCACCCGAAGCTCCTTAAGTTATGTTTAAGGAGAATTCATTATATTTATGTTTATTTGTTACTAACTTATTTTGTAGAACCTAAAGACTAATAAAACACCGACTGTGTGTTTAATTTTTGTACTTGTAACACCCGAAACACCATGGTAACACGGTGTTACTAACACCCGAAACAAAGAGAATTTTTATAAAAAAATAGTAAAACGTTATTTGCGACAGTGATTATGTAGATGGTTAGTAAATATTATACTTTTGGAGGCCTGTAATTTTTAGTAATGTTTCACCAAGAAAATTCGCTGAATTTTAAATAAATTTAACAATGGTCAGGACATAGAGGCAGAATCGTGAAACACCCGAAACGCACACTTTTTGACTTATAAAATCTTTATCCTATATGCTAAACTGTACTTATTGTACAATTTAGATAAAAAAACTAAAGACGTAGAGAATAACGCACTTTAATTGCTAAAATGTTTAAAAAACATAAAAATTTAGACTTTGGTTGAACAAATGTAACACCCGAAACGATATAATGACCCTTAACCTTAAGGAGTTGATTACAAAAACACGTTTTCCCATTGTATATAATAAGAGAGATATTTTATTCAAACTTTTAAGAATATAAAAGAACAACATTTAAACCATATTAAAAAAAAATCATTTCAAACTAGTTCTTAGACACCTTGGAAAAAAGTATTCTCGCAGTAGACAGGATAACTCATATATAGTCGTCGCGGCTAATGTTCAAATTGCGTCATCAATATCGAATGTCAAAAACCGATTTCTCGACATACGGTTAACCTAGCGATTCCTTGGATTATATACGTAAAAGAAATGTCTGTGCTTGTTTCAGAATTTGATGACGCAATTTGAAACATTCGCCGCGACAACTGTAGAAAATTTAAAAGGAAACGACGTACCTCATCAATCAGCTGATCGGGCACGGTTGTCAATGTGCATCAATGTTGCATCAAGTGAAAGTGGGCGATAGATGGCGTTTACATGAATAATACCATAGGGTCCCTAGATTTGGGACCTTAGAATACCAAAATGTCAAAAGTCACCGCCAAAAATATGTTTTTAGCCATTTTTAAAGACATTTTTAGCTATAAAACCCAGATATATATTATTATTTTTATGTATCCAAAATATATTTGTTAAATATTCTTATAGGTATATAATTAATAATAATTCTTTTTACCTCTCTAACAGCTGTTAAAGGTCACAAAGGTCCATTATTATCCCGTTCTGTCTCAAAATAGCGTATTAAGGATGAGACCAACTCTTGACTCCGATTATTTAAATGCTTCGGCATTTTAAATACTTATAGGAAAAACAAAAAAACGATATATAACAAACACAAAAACTGCAATGAAAACTTAAACGATATAAAATAACACAAACAACAAACAAAATAAACAAAATTATACACGAATTAAACGAAATATTTAAAAACATAACTGATAGCTTCAAAATTCTAAAACGTCAATTTCTTCTATGCGTCATTTTATTTAGCAAAATTTTAATCTAAACATGACAACATTGCAATTGCTGCCAACTAAAGCAGTGGCGGCTCGTGACCATTCATGAAGGTGAGGCCCATGAACCACTTATATGGCACCGCACTCGCGTTTTTTAAGCACTTCAGAATCTAAATAATAAAAATATATTATTTAAAAATATGTTCTTTCACGAGAAGAATTTTCAAAATTTAGCTAGAATAATACAAAAAGTGCGGGACGAGATGGGATTTTTATTTATTCCTTCTGCAGGTTTCCACATTACCCAGGAGGTACTGCTTATTTTTACCTATCTTACAATAATTATTTTTAGATTAATAAAGGCACAACCGCACAACAACAAAATAATAATGTACAGCACAGTAGGTATATGAAACTCGATTTAACACTGAACTATAAAAAAACATGAATATTTTTATTTATATTTTTTGTAATTTTTACTGTGGTATTTGTGTGTTAATATAATAATATATTAAAATAAAAATGATCTTTTATATTTATTTGAATTATTTTTACATGAATTCACAACACAATAATGTATTTTACGCTTGCATTTTTATCACAACTTTCCATTTTAACGCTAAGGCAAATACTAAACAGAAATAAGAAACTATAAACACGCATAGATCTAATTAATAAGCTTTGTTTACTAAAACATTCCACGCCCGCCCAGTCTTTTACAACGGCTGATAAACGAGACGCACAGATCTCGGGACTGACTCTGCTGTCTTCCATATACTGTGGTACAAGCCCAACTTTGTGGGCTTAAATAAGTAATGTATCGAAAATTTCAAATTATATTATAATTTTAACATGTGAGGCCCGGCCTCAGTTGCTTTATACGACGAGCCGCCACTGAACTAAAGTTGTTTAAAATGCATTAAAATATTCAATTACAGACTTGGTTTTATACATTTAGTGTTGATACCAGTGCGCAAAATTTATTACGTCATCGATGACGTGTACGTCGTTTCCTTTTAAATTTACTATAAAAGACTATTCCGAAATTAAAAAACAAATATTTTTTGTTAGTACGTAAGTATAGCTCGTGACTTAAAAAAATGGAAATTTAAAAGTTTGGCATTATGTAAAAATTACATTTTTCGGCATTGCCTTGTAAAATAAGTGGTGATCAAAACAATTTTTTTGTTTAGTCAATTGTATCCAAAATTTCAATTAAATCGGTGCAAAAACTTAAGTTTTTGAGAAATCGTGCCTACCGACTTCAAAAAGCTCCATCTCCTAGATTTTTACTCCGATTGACTTTGAGAACATATTCTTGACATGTACTGTTAAATAAAAAATAATGATTTTTAAAAATTTCGAAACCCTACAAAATATATCAAATGTGCCAAAATAATATAACAAATATGCCAAGAGATAAAACGCTCAAACTTACCACAGGACCTTCGTGTCCGGCCAAAATTTCCAGCAGTCTGCCGGTTTTAACTGACCACAAATAAATTTCGAAAACATCATGACCACCTGCGGCTACAAACTCGCCGCTTGTATCGATGGCAACGCAAGAAAACTGTACAGGTCTGGGGGATGTGAAAGTTTTAAAGTTGCGGTATCTAAAAATAAATATGAAATATCAATCAAGGAATATGTGGAATATGTTCGTTGTTTTTTTACTCGAGTATCATCTAAAGTATTTGTTTACAGTTAAAAAAGAATTTTGAAGAAATATTTGTTCCGATGTCGTTAAACCCTGCCTAAATGATTATATAGTCGTCGCGGCGAATGTTTAAAATTGCGACATCAACGTCGAATGCGAACTGGCATTGGTTCTTTGATACAGTGTTTTTCAGAGCGGAATTCCCACTAGATGGCTCTATTTGCAGAATTTTTATATCGGGAACATATCTTAAAAAAATAGAGGTAACCATAGACGACAGTAAATAAAATCGGTAAAACTGACATCTGTGACAGTATTGCAAATAATTTTCAATACAAGTTTCATTTCTATCATTCTTTTATATTATGTGACCTCATGTGTGTATAAACGATAGGTATATCGTTTTGTTCTGTTGTGTTTTTGTGCGTTATTATATTATTCTACCGTTGATTCTATAGAATCAACGGTAGAATAATATAATAATTGTATACAATCAGTTTGTATACAATCAATTTAGATAATATTGTCAATAATAAATGGTATGTTATTATAATTTATTTTATTTATTTATTTTATATCAACTGAGAGTTATTTATTATTTTATAACAATATATTGCTGTATAAAATGTAATAAAACTTTATAATTTCGATTTGTTTTTAAACTATTTAGTTAAATAGTTTTAAAAAAGATTGAAATCTTAGAAAAAATATATTATTCGTTTCTAATAAACCCATAGATGACCGCCAAAACCTAAAAACCAGAGCGGAATTCTCACTAGGTGGCGCTGTAACACGATATCACACGTTTCATACTGAGTTGCCTATCTATTTCTTTATAATCTGAGGTCGAATGTCAAAAACCGATTTCTCGACATACGGTTAACCTAGCGGTACTTTGGATTATATACGTAAAAGAAAACAATAATTGTATTGCCTGTGCTTGGTTCAGAATTTGATGACGCAATTTGAAACATTCGCCGCGACAACTATACTTTAAAATTTCATTTTTATCTTCTTGACATAATAAAAACTTTATAACGCGCTTATTAAAAGACACAAGACAAAATGTTGTAGTAATTTTTATGCTTAACAAGGTCATTTAGTTTTTTGTAAAACTATTCATTTAATCATTTAGATGGATGTCAACGTTTAACATTTATATTAAGTAATTAAGTACTTATCTTTTAGGCAGTGTTAAAAGTCATTCGAAAAAAATATATAAATTGTTTACACACTGTAAACAAATAAATTAGATGATACCTACACAAGTAAAAAAACCTTTAACCGAAATCGGCAGTAAAGTAAAATAAATCGGCAGTAAAGTAGAACTTTACTGCCGATTTAATACGAGTATTATATGCAACCCATTATACATTTTAAGATATGTCTACTGCTCCTCAGCAGCAACTACATAATATTAAAAAAAAAGCAACGTCGCGCAGATCGATTGGACCCTTTCATAAAAAGTTGTTTAATAAAAATAATAAGTTAATTTTATTAATTAGATTAAAAAATTGCCGCGGCGGGTAAATATATATTAACCGTCGCAACAAACAGTATACGTAGACACTTCCTAGATTCAAATGACATTTGATTTAATCATCAATATTACTTATTAGTAGGTATTATAAAATGTGATTTCAGATAAAATTTAATATGCACCTCGGCATTAAAGTAATCACTCACGTGGTTATTTCCACATTTCCACATTCGTAATAAAAAATACGACTTTACTGCCTTGATACATAAATTATTTATAACTATTATAACTATAATAAATTCAGAACAAACAAGATAATGACAATACTTGACCATTATTGACAAGGGGGTGGGGAGGGGTTTGCGAGAATGTGACGTCCGAAATTCTATATTATTTTTTTATTATTTATTTTTCATACATATTTTGTGTTCATACCAAACTAAGTGGATAGATTTATATAACAATTACAGGTAACATTGGTAAATTTTTCAAAAAGATTTGGAATGGAACAAACAGTATATGGATTAAAAGTTCCTTTGCCGACCAAATTAGAAGGCATTTTAACTGCTAAACTCCCATCGCTGTTTAAAAAAGTCCTAATTTACAAAAAAATCTGCTGAGCCGTCTGTTATTCCTTATGATTCATTTTGTTCGTCATTACAGACAGATTTAGAAGCCAGAATTTGTAAAATATGCCACCTGTACTTTGCTTCAAAAGTAATGCTTCAGAAACACAGAGTTTTACACAAGGAAAATCGATGAAAAGGATGAAAAAATAAAAAAATAAAGTAGCAGCAAAGCGGCAACGAGAAATGATGGCGATTTTGACAGGCGATCAAGTGGACTGGCTCAAAGAAGATAATCTGCATTTGACTGAAATAACTCTTTCATCTCAAAAAAAAGAAGACAAAGAAGAATCCGATTTTATGCCAATTTATTCTGCTGTTAAATATTTTGAAAATCCTTGGGAGGAAATTTGAGAAAATACATTTCTGTTCTCTTGTAGTTTTTTATTCAGAATTTACTTGTTCAAAAATAAAAATTAATGTATAATACAATGTTCCAAATTTAGAGTAGAAGTCCAGTGGCTATTATATGAATCTTTTTTTTTAGGTATACTTCCTCATTTTAAAAATTAAAAAAAAATTGTTTAGCACAACTACCTTAAATTTGTGTGATTATTTAATTCGTTTTTTGAATTTGTGACGTGACATGGGGGGTGGGGGTTCGCGCTGCTGTGACCATTTGTGACAAGGAGGGAGGGGGGTCAAATATTTCACGTTTTTTTGTAATTTTGACATTTCGCTATAAGCATAGTTTGTTGCAGATTAATATAAATACTTTTATTGTGTTTATCATATTCTACCACTGGATTATGCAAACAATGTTACAAGGCTTGTTGGCAACGCCATCAGTTATTATACAGGGTGTTATGTAATTAATGTTATATATTAAAATACTGAATACCTTTTGACATAAGGTGTAATGGAAAAATATTTTAAAAGATATTTTCCCGAAGATAAAGAAAATATATGCATTAGAAGTTTTTTATATTTTTTGTGATACGCCACTGGTTACACACTTGTGTTCTGTGAGTACATAGATACAAACCAACAAAGCTTTGTTACTAGTAGCTGCGCGTTGCCAGTTGTAAAAAATTGTTACTAAAAAATTTTCTTGCATAAAATAAATAAATACAAAAGTTTTAAGCCCTTAAAGTTCTAATACTATTCTGTATTTATTTACTTATCCAACTACTTAAGCAATGATAAGAAAAATTAGTACCTATTTAAAAACTCCATAAAATTAATTTTTTCATCGGTTTTTTTCTTTCTGTTTACTCAGATGAAATTAGGACAAGTTCACAGGTTAATCGTTAAACATTCAATTTGTGTAAATATCCAAACGCCCAAAAGCACTTCCCTTAGTTAAGATATTTACAATTTAAGCACATAACCTACAATTTTTGACAGAATGTGTTACCAACCAACATAATAAATTAAACCAGATTAACTTAAAGTAAAGTAAATCATTACGAATTATGAATAAAGTTTGTCTAAATTTAAATATATTTTTTATAAGTATGTTTTTAAATCACAATGTTAAAACGATTTACAAATTTTTACAAGGTCTAGCAATTTCAGGTTTTTATTTTTTTTCAAGTTTTTTCAGGTTTTTATTCTTTTATAAATATTTTGAAAGTTTGATAATTTGTATTTTATTAGTAATAATAATAAGTAATTAGTGCGAAAGATTTTATGCTATGGCGGGTCGGGCGCTCACAAATATTCAATTAACAAATATGGTTTTGTGTTACGGGGAAGCGATGTAAAATGCTCGTCAAGCAAGAATTTTGTAGGTAGGTATATTCAAAATTATCACAACGCCAATCACGGACATCCACCGCCCTCGGAGCAAAGTTTTGTACGTGCTGTGCAAAATTTAAGGTACCGCGGAAGATTTAGCGCATTTGTTGGTGATAGGGGTCGGGCTCAGGGACGTGAATTTGTGGCCCTTGAAGAACAAATTTTGGACGAAGTGGAAGCAAATCCGAGAATTAGTACAAAACGATTAACTGCCCAACTTGGACAAATGTCCAACTTTGTTACGTGGCGCACGATTCACGAAAATAGTTTGTACCCCTATCACCTACAAAAAGTTCAAGCTCTTTAGGATGGAGATTATGCACTGCGGTTGGAATTTTGCCATTGGTATATACAGAAAAATCAAGAAGATGCTGATTGGAGCCATAGTGTTTCTATACCGATGAGGCCACATTTACGAGAGACGGGATTTGTGCAGCAACTCAGGAACTTAATTGTAAATAATCCAGACATTTTTACGCGGGTGCGCGAAAGCATGCTTCGCAGAGTTTAAGCTTGCATTCATAATGAAATCATTTTGAGCATCTCAAATAAGGTAATACATTTTTAATTTTACATTTGGCAACACTGCATTAAAAAGTAATAGGTAAGGTTAATCCGCGGTTCCTAGTCGATCAGTGGCGTACTTTTTGGTAGGATAAAGGTTATTATAAATTATTTTTAGTCTTTGGAATTTAGAAAAAAAAGTTTCAGGTGCTTCTTTATGGACCCTAAGGAACTACCCATTTTAATATATAACATTAATTAAATAACACCCTGTATAATAATATATATTGCCTAAACATTGGGCAATTAATAATAAATTTGGGGAAATAATCATACTCCAAGTCTGAGCTGATTCGCTCTGCAGATCTGACGACAAAGACGACTGGTAATTTAGTATTTTTGTGTTTTGGTAATTTAGTATTTTTTTGTTATGTGCATATGTTTTAAAAATGTACTAAACTCCGTTTGTTTCCTCTCTAAATACATTTAATTAAAATTTGCCCATAACAAACTCCTAATTAGTTAATGTAGAAGATTATGACAATATAATTCCATCTTAATAAACAGCTCGCACCGCTATAAACAGTCAGCGTTAGATTGTGCCTG